AGGGCAGATTGTGGGCGCTGAGATGTCAACTCATCACCGAGGTCTGTGACCTTCATTGACGCTGCCAAGACTATGGAGCGCAAGAGCAGTGCATCGCCACAGCAAGCTGTCTTTTTGGTCCACGTTTTCAGAATGCAGAAATGAACACAAATAGTCTGTTAAAATTTTTAAGGGCAGACAGTTCATGGGGTAGTTTTTCCCGCGCAGACGGGCCTCCACTCATAAGCTTCGAGCACTTTGAGAAGCACCAGGGTGAAGAGCTTCTCGCAGGGCGGCAAAACAGAAGGACATAGGGCACTCGGGGTTATCGAGGACGTGTGTGGCTTCGGACCAGGACATGAGTGTAAAAACTCCAGGGTGGTGAGTGATACAGAGGCTGATGTTTTTCAGATCGGACCTGGGCACCTGAAGCCAGCCGCCCCCTGCATCTCGTCCCACCCGGCTCGCGCTCTCCACCCCCTCCCCCCCCCCACCCCCGCCCGCCGTCGAGCCGCCACACAGGAGCCTGGAAGCGTGGGGAGCAGAATCTGCCTTTTCATGGCCCCGGCCCCTTAAGACTGCCATGGCAGCAGCTGCCACCGATGACCCAGGCCAGATTACCGCAGTAACGCCGGAGGACGAGGACGAGTGTGCCGCCGCCGCCGCCAAGCTTTTCGGAGGCAAGCCGCCGCGATCGGAGAGAGCCGAGAGGGACGACCGCAATCCCAGGAGCTGCGAGTGCGAGGTGTGCGGGGCGCTGTTCAGCACGCAGGACAAGCTCCGGATCCACACCTACTGCCACACTGGTGAGAAGCCCTTCCGCTGCTCCCAGCCCCAGTGTGCCAAGGCCTTTGTCTCCAAGTACAAGCTTTTCAGGTAAGCACCGCAGGGTGATCAACAGAGGACTTTCGGCTGCGCTGGGATTGAAAGATGGAAGATGGGTGGTCAAGACGGTGACCTTTTGGTGGTGGTGGTGGTGGTGGGTGGGGAGTCTGATTTGGAGCCATGCGATCACAATCCCTCAGGTGGCAGCTTCGCACCTTTGGCTCCTCAGCCAAGAGCAGGCAGCGAATTTCTGAACCTGCGGATCTTCTCGTACCGAGCGGGGTTGTTATTGCAACAACACAACTCTGGGTTGAACTACACGACACTACGCGGCGTCCAAATATTCATCCACTCTGTAGAGCTTCGTTGAGGAATGGTCGTAGGCTCTCCAACTTGATCTTTGAAACAGAACTGTGTAGAACATTGGAGAACCATTTTTATTCAGTTAAACATCGTGGCTTGGTATAAAGCATTACAGGATGCAACACACAGTTTACTGCAAAACCTCTTGATAGAATTCATTTAAAGAGAGGAAGAAAACCCTCCTAGTATTCTCGTCTGTAATTGTCTGTAACCCCACCTCATCTCTTCCGTCTCCTACAGGCATATGGCCACACATTCTCCGCAGAAGACGCACCAGTGCACGTTCTGTGAGAAGATGTTCCACCGGAAAGACCATCTCAAGAACCACCTCCAGACCCACGACCCCAACAAGGAGGCCTTCAAGTGTGAGGAGTGTGGCAAGAACTACAATACCAAGCTGGGCTACAAGCGGCACGTGGCCATGCACGCGGCCACCAGTGGTGACCTGACGTGCAAGGTCTGCCTGCAGAGCTACGAGAGCACACCCGTGCTGCTGGAGCACCTCAAGAGCCACTCGGGGAAGTCCTCAGGCGGTGCCAAGGAGAAAAAGCACCCCTGCGACCACTGTGACCGGCGCTTCTACACCCGGAAAGATGTGCGGCGCCACATGGTGGTCCACACGGGGCGCAAGGACTTCCTGTGTCAGTATTGCGCCCAGCGCTTCGGCCGCAAGGACCACCTGACCCGGCACGTCAAGAAGAGCCACTCTCAGGAGCTCCTGAAGATCAAGTCGGAGCCGCCTGACATGCTGGGCCTCCTGAACTCTGGCTCACCCATCTCTGTGAAGGAAGAGTTCAGCCCCATGATGTGCATGGCTTCTTCCAAAGACTCTATGATGAGCAAGTCCTTCAGTAACAACTTCCCCATGGGCATGTACAACCCCCACCTGCAAAGCATGTCCAACTCGGGGGTGACGCATAGCTTGATGCCCAACTCTCTCTCTGCTGCCATGGGAATGGGCTGCCCCATGGAGTCTCCTTCCCCCATCCACCACCACTCACCCCCTCCCCAGCAGCCCCCACCGCCCAAGTATCAGCTCGGATCTACCTCATATCTGCTGGAGAAGCCCCTGAAGGTGGAGATGGAAAGCTTCCTCATGGATCTGCAGAGCGGGCTCCCTGTCTCGTGCGCAGAATCCCACCCCTCTCCGCCCAAGGATGGGCTGGAACACCAGCCATCCCTGGATGACCTCTCCGGGGAGCACCTCCTGTCCAAGAGCCCGGCCATCATCGCCGAGTCTCTCTGCGCTGCTAATATGGACTTCTCCCACCTGCTGGGCTTCCTGCCACTGAACCTTCCGCCATATAACCCCCCGATGTCCTCCAGCGGGCTGGTCATGGGCTACTCCTCCCAGGGCGATCCCCAGCCGCCTCTAACCTCTTTGCAACCTCAACCTCAAGAGACTCAAGGCTCTGTAAGCAGCTTAAGCCTTGGGCCTCTCCACCCTCTGCCTCCAGTGTTCACCAGCAGCCTCAGTACAACCACTCTGCCTCGCTTTCACCAGGCGTTTCAGTAGGCCACCTCCTCCTGACGGCAACCTCCCCTTGAAAAGACAAACGCTTAGAAGCCTTAATTAAAGCTCCCAAAGCTTTTCTCCGAGGCATGGGAGGACAGCTACGCCTTCTCGCCGAGGAGCTTTCATTAGGGTTTTTCTTTTCCTCTTCAGCTAGATGGCAGCATTGGCATGTCGATTAAGGAGGTACGGTACTGTAATATGGTAAAAGACTAGTTATGAGAGAGTCATATCCTTTGGTTTTTCGAGGGAGCATGACGCGTTTGGAGTGAGTTAAGCAAGGATCTGATTTTTTAGAGTTTTTTTTTTCTTCAAATGTGAAATATGCCACCTGCAGTTTCTCTTCCTCTCCTGTGTCTCAGGCACTTCTTTGCAAGCTGATATTCTGAGGTGCAGACAGGCTCCCCTTCACATTGCCAGCGGGGAAATTTGTGAAGGGCCTGAAAGCAAATTTTCTGGAAGGTTTCATCCGTGGTCGGTTTGCTTACTATGTTGTACATCTTGTATCTCAGCAATACACCACTCCGACATGCATATTTCTTCTTCTGAGGGCAGTATGGAAACAGAAGCTGCAGAAATTAATGGGAGTTTTGGTCTTAATAAGAAGAAGCACTTTTCTGAAGGAGGCACTTCATGCATTTTATTTAAAGAATGCAACCCAAAAATAATCATACTACTGTATGTGTATGCATGTACAGCTGTATGTGTACTATGTGAATAATAAGGAGGGGCAGCTTCAATTTCTGTTAAAGCAAAACAGAAGCGTGATCTAGGCATGCAGTCCGAAGCTAGTGGAGGCCAGGGGAGAAAACACTCCATTTGCTTTCAGTCTTTTGCTGGTTAGAGTTCACATTCTATTCTGGTTCAATCCCTGACTCTGCCACTCACTCACTCACTTTGTGTCATTGTGACTGAACTCTGCACGAGTCCAAAAGGCCAGGGTCCATTGCACTGGGCACCAGTGAAAATGGCTGAAGAGCACACTTTCCAATCCCTGGGTCTCCGTTAGGTGCTTTGGATAAAAACATTAGTGAAATGACAAATTCTAAAATTGCATATTCGCAACTAAAAATACTCTGGCTTTAAAGGTTTAAATGTCTTCAGTATTAGCACAGGCTTCAATTACTGTGCTGTGTTGTTGAACGGAGACTTTGTCTTAATTCTGGTGGTGTTGCCCTTGTAACATACTTGTTAGGGCGAGGAGACAAACCAGATATTTTTAGTTGACACGTTGGGATTGTTGATGAAGCCTGGCCGTAATGTACTGCCTGTCTGCATTGCTTTGTGGTGTTAATGATAGCTTCATTAGCATTGCAGAGTCAGTAAACTTAGAAACTTATGCTGAGGTCTTCATCTCAAGTAACAAGGGCAGCATGTTACTTTATTTGTGAACAAGTCAATATGGTGCTAACTTTATCTGGACTTATAGAGAAGGAAAGCTGCCTGTTTTGTAAATTAGAATGATGCCTTTTCACAAAACCTTCAAAACCTGTTTGCTGTATAATGACAAGGAAAACTGGAGAACAGCTTTAAAATAGCCTTAAACTTTCCAGATAACATTCACGTCAAATGCAGGGTAGTTCTTATGTGCTGGGAAACAAATGTTGTATTGATGGCTGAATTTCTGGGCATTTCCCCGTGAATTGGACAGAATTCCATCTGCTGTATACTGCCTTCTGTAATGTTTCCTTCGAAATATTTTAAGTAACCATTGTAAAGTGTCACAAGACAAAACTCCACATTAATGACTTAATTCACTGCAATCTTACTGAGAGAGTATTTCAGTGTCTCACAGTTTGAATCCAAGGTCTTCTTACATATATAAACATACAGCATAGAGTTTCAAAAAGTCCTTCTCCCAAGAGTAGAATTGATCTACATCCAGCTGTTTTTTCCTAACTAGTTGTCTTCATTCTGACACTAATTTTTACAAAAGTAAAAATCCTTAAGATCTGTGTGTCTTTTGACACTCTGCCTTGTATTATATATATTTAAATCTAGGCAGTTTTAGGCATTTGTTTTAATAACCCTGACATATGTGAATAGTTAAACAGAAACATTTTAAGAACATTTTGCAGTGTACGAACAAAAATATATCTAAATGACTTTTTTCAGTAAAATTGAATATAGTTAGTTGTATAAAGTGTTTTTATACTGGTGTTCATTCAAGTTTACATACGTGTGTCATACATGTACTGGTCTAAAGATGGATGAAGCAATAGATGTCTGTGATAGGCTTTTCTCTTTAACCTTTCATTCATAGGAGCTAAATTAGAGCAAACGTGATTTGTGAATTAACAGGTATACAATTGCATAACGAGGACTATAATGTGCTTAACTTTAAGAGAGTCATTTTTCTTTCCTCCCATGGGGAATGTAAATACCAGCCCCATCAGAGTACAGAATGAAGACCCCATTTGATTGATGAAGTGTGGTCTAGTACAAGAGACATATTCCTTTTAAATGAAACTATTATTAAATTAATTGACAAAAAGGGCATTCAGGCATCTAGAACGTGCCTTTTGCTGTTCATGAGAATGAAGGAAAGCTGATTACAGGTAATCAAAGTTCTGAAAAGTAGGAATGAGAAAAGTCTTAAAGAAGTCTTATTTCTTCCGATAAAGCTAAGCTAAATTGGTTTCCTGTGATATTTATTTGAGTACCCACGACGTACAGCAAGTTATTCACATCACTGGATCACATTTGCTCTCACAAACCTGAACCTGAAGTATTGTATATAACATTTATGTACCATTGGAAACCCATTAGGAAACCACTACTGGTTTTATGAGTACAGCCCTTCACTTAAAAAACTGAAACCCCACTATTACTTTACTGCTGCTTCAAGTATGCTTAAACAGATATTTTATTTAATGTACATTGTCTTTTCATTCTGTTTCTATGGCTGCTTTAATTCAAGAGCATAATGACAAAGTTGTACAATACCAAGATCACGCAATGATAACTCAGAAACACAAAACAAAAAAATCTAATAGGCAGTACTGTTGAGTTTTATATATGGATTTCTCTTTTTCTTCTGTTTATTATACAGGACCTCAGAACAACAACACACCACCTCATGAGAATTTATTACTAACAATCTAGGAGGAAAAACCGAATAGGGAGGGGTGGTGATGTGGCATTCAGCATTGCTGCCTCACAGCTCTGGGGTCCTGGGTTTGATTCCAAACTGGGACACTTCCTGTGTGGAGTTTGCATGTTCTCCACCATGTTATGATGGGTTTTGCTTACGTTTCCTCCCATCTTCCAAAGATTTGCTGGCTGTTGTGTGTCCTAAACTTACTGTGATACCCTGACATCCAGTTTGTAGTTCCGCCTTGTATCCTATGTAACTGTGATGGGTAATCAATGGCCACCGGGAGTAAAATAGTTTTCCGATAATGGACTTGATTTAAAAAAGCAACATAGAGTTGCATCTTGAAAGATATTTACTGTATCTTATAATTGATGCATGCTGCATTTGTCTTTACTGAATGAAGATTCTGCCCTTTCTCCTCAGACAAAAAACTGATACGATAGTAAGTAAAGAACCCTCTCTCCAGACAGCTGCCCTCTCAAGGCTGATATTTCCATGATTCTTATCTGTGGGTCTGGGAAAAGGCACAGAGAACAGATCCAATCCAGAACAGATCAAGGGTCTGCCACAGTTTGAGCTTATGTTCCCAAGGGACAGGGATGGTCCTGTGTTATTGACCTGGTCCACACTGCTTCCTGTGTTTCTGAATTGTCATCTCCACTTGATTTCTATTTTTCACAGTGTTGATTTACTATCATGTTAATTTTGTTGAGAATTTCCAGGTGTGGTCAGTCGACAGTTTCAACGCACTCTGTTGCAGTGTTTTAGAAGTAAACTAGAGGTATATTAAAGATTAAATGCAGCAGGATCTTCACATTCATTGCTAAGCAAAAGGGAGGGTTTATAAGACCATGCCTTTACAGACCGTGACTAGGATATTTAGGGCTGTCATATTTTTAATCTAAAAAGTGTTTGGTGTTTCTAAGTCTCCCAAACATGCAAGAACTACTTCTTTAGCTATGTGAGGTCATTAGCTATTCTGTTTTTCCTCCTAAGGTTTCTGTGAGCTTGTCTGAACTCTAGCACTTTCAAAATTCAGAAGGAGTATTTCTTTTAAAAAGAGGTATTTTTAATCTTGTACATTTACGTGCCATTAACAGATTTATGATTCCACGCGTTTTCCTTTTTACAAAAAAAATACTTGGACATAAAATAGGTTTTAACGGTGCTGTTTCCTTCTTGCATATAAGGGTGCCTTTTGCTCTAGAGTTGGCAGGCTGAGAGAAAACAAACTATGACATAAATGGCTCCTCAAACGTCTTATCGCATCAAGTTGAAAATGAAAATTCAGTTTCACTGTAATGTTGTAATTCAGATTTGTAAAGATTCCATGAATGTCTGCATAAAACTCCCTAGAACGTAGTTGCAAAGAACGCAGCCTTTTCTGCCCTGGAACTCAATTAAAAATATATATTTTTGGGAATTTCAGTATACTCTACTTCTTTATCTTACAGTTCTCTGCTGTAACCTGTGGCGCAGTGCAGGACTATACCGGCTGTGGGTTTTTAAAGGTCTTCCTAGTAAAACTGAGGGGGAGAGAACTCTGCCCCCTTCCCCATGACTGCACCCACGATTGTAGACTCTGATCGTTGTAGTACACCATTAAAGTCCTCAAAGAACTCGAAAGAGAATAAGAACAATAAAAGCAACAAAGGAGTAGATCTGAAGTTGAATTAACCCTTAGTCAAGTTTAAAACAGACAACAAAAAGACTAATGAAAATTCCTTGCAAGAAAACTAGGGTATACTTCTATAAACCAAACTAAAATTAAAATTCAAGTGGGCGTTTGCTTTGCAGTATTGCATTCAAGCTTGTTTGAAGATAGAGAGACCATGCCAAAAATAAAGCTAGAATACACTAATCTGTGTGATGGAGAAGTGACGGCTATTTCAGTGTCCCCCTATGTCACTTCAGATACCAATAATTTTAATTGTCTAGAGATGATACAGCCTTAGCTGCATATCAGTCCTCGTAGGGGGTGAGATAGGGTTCAGAAAAGTGCTTTACTGATGAGATGATGACTCAATGAAGCCCTTTTCTGTGATTTCTTACCATGCACAAAACTAAATCTTTCCTAGCATGGGTCTAAATTAGTGAGAGCAGTTTTCTGTACATCTGTCTTGTTTTGTTTCAGCCAGTTATAACCTCCATGTACTTATTAGTACTGCACTTACTCTTAAAATATTGTACTAGTAGGTACAGAACACATCTTGAAGGGAATAAAGTGAATTCCAGGAAGAAAATCAGATTTAAAAAACTAAAAACAACTATATATATATATGTGATATTGATTTTGCTTTATTATGAGAAACTGGGTACTGTCTATTAAAGACAAAATCCATGTGTAGTTTTATATATTTTAGCTTAATGTTAAGTCTTGCATTCCAAGTTCTTTATGTATCTTTAGTAACTAGTTTTTAGTATGCTCTATTACTGCCACCTCAGAAAAAAGTGAAAGAAAACAAAAGGTGTTTTGTGTTCATCCTACACTATTTTTATATAGCATGGTATTTACATACTACAGGGAAATTGTAAAAAATCCTTCAGAGAGAGGAAGAACGTTTTATAAGAAAGATGTCTTCTTTTTTTTGTGCTCAAAAAGGTTCCACATACAATCAGTTGCTGCAATGTAAAATGACAGATTTTTTTTTTATATTGGTTGATCCAAAGAAAAAAGCTACAGCAAACATATTTACTTATTGTACAGAACGTTGTACTTTTTAACTTTTAATGTGTTATGGTAAAAATGATTAAAATACAAACATGGTTCAATGCTTTTGTCTTTTTTAAAAAAGAAAACACGTAAACACTTCAGATTCCTGAGTTGGGGACGAGGGGCTGACAATGTCTAATTGATAGCTTGGATTTAGGGTGGTCTGAAAAGGCTTGCATATTTTGCTGTAATGCTGAAGACCCCAACTGGTGAAACTGCAGGACCCAACTCTTGACCTTTGAACCATGAATTCTGTAGCAGGGCCGATCTTTACAGAGAGCACCACTTACAAAACTCCATTTAATCCACAGTGCGACACAGGTTCAAATTTGGATTTTTCGGCACTTTATTTTTATACACTATGTAACTGGACATTCTTTTAAAAAAAAAATGGAACATGCAGACTCAAAAACAATGCCATGATCAAAACAGATGGTGCCTAGGAACAGCTAACAATGTTGCAAAGCTTCCTTTATTTACAGAAATACACAAATATTACATCTTTAAAAATATATATGTACTCAGACGTGACAGGTCCCAAAGAACAGATCTGATAAAATCATTCAGAGGCTGCAAAAAAGAAAACGATCGAAAACTTACAGTGCTCTCAACTCACTGTAGAGATCAGAACTACTTCTCTGCTTGGATTCAAAACACATGCATCTGAAGAGAATCTTTTCTGCTTTCTTCCTACTAAAACACATCTGAATTTCTGTACTCCAGGGCTGAAGTGTAATGCATGTCTTTCCTGGTAAGGTTGCAGAGGGGGGTGCTATATTTTAATTTTAAACAGTTACATTTCTGCATGTTCAACCTTAATCAATAAAGCTGGTTTGCTTCTGTGATCACTGTCTGTTAACAAGCAGAATAGTGATGAGGACACTTCACACCTCATGCATTACATTTTTGTGTTTAATTTGATGGCTCACTATCCTGCTTTATCAACATGTGTGAATCTGAACTGTCAGGTTTTCCTGCTGGAGGATGGAAATCAAGTTACCCAACTGCACATAACTTTGGTACAATGTTTACTTAAAAGGAATATATTCTTTTTGCTTTGACTTTCACACTCAAAACACCTGAGCTGTAAAATTCCATAGCCTGCATCTCCCTGCCAGCAGTAACAGAGACTGTTCCTAGTTGCTGAACATCATGCCAACGCAACCCAGATTGAAGAGAACAGTCTTCACTTGTCATTTGGTTCATCACAAACCAGGAAAATTCTCAGATACACCCGGAGGAAGAGTTGCCAACTGATTAAGGAGAAAAAGAAACACTGCAAGTTGCAAAAAAATATTTTTGTGCATTTTCACTTAACAGTGCAGTAAAGGTTTTCAGAGCAACCAATCACATTTGCTTTCAACTTATTTTGCTCAATCAATCCTTTTCAACTACAACTCCTAGATGAAGGCAATCTACAACCAAGGTACCATAAATATCTCATCGAACCATTTACAACTCAAAACCTGCATTTGCTTTTTATTTCCGCCAGCTCTCTTAGGAAACAGCCCACAAACATACAAAACGCAGCAAACAAGAGAAGAGATGTGTTCTGCTAACAGATGCTCCCACTTGGTCAACAGGGAAGGGCACAGTGAATGTGCTTTGTTTGGAATTGCCAATTGTTTTTATACCCAACCGATTTGGAATCGCCGAGTGTCTGTATGACTTATCTCTCAAGCGGCGCTACCAAGCACCTTTCCAAGAGAGAAGGTTCTGTGCAGACGCGCCCATCTGCAGAGACATTGGTCTTTTAAAGCACCTTACGCTCCACAGCACTGTGCAGGAGTGACCACGCCAACTGGAGGAAGGGGAGAGCGTCTCTCCAACATCGCCACAAGTCGGCGAACACTCAGCAAGAAACTGACAGCTGCTGGAGAGTCTAGGGGGCTCATGTGGCATCTCTTGTGCCAATGCAAAAACCTTACTGATTCACACCTGTAACACTGTGCATTCTTGCTGATGAGATCTTGAAAGGTCTTAAACAAGGAACAGCAATACAAAAAATGATATAAAAGACTAAGTTGACAGATCAAAGAGAAAAACATCGTTTAGTGTCTCTTGGCCTGTTTGTATTGTTAAACCATGGCTGGAGATCATAAACTGAACCCCTTACCCTGTAGTGAACGTATCCGGCTGTTGACTGTTACTAAATCTCCATAACTGGGGGAAAACATGTAATGACAAGCCAGGAACTTTTCTTGTCATTATTACAATATTGTTCAAAACAACCTGATCTGCACGTCATTCAAATAAGTGGTTCAGATGGCCAACAGGCAACACTTGGAAGGCCACGATGCAAATAAAATAGTTTCAACACATGGTTCTGGCAGGATAACACTTAATTTCCTCAAACATGCAGAAGTCTCGTTAATGTATGCAGGACTACAACCCGGAAATCACTTCAGCTAAAAACAGTGCCGCCATAGTGGAACAGGCTGTAAATTAGAACAACTGGGGCTCTTTTTATGAAGAAATTCCACTTTACAAAACCAGGGAAATATACAAAGAGAAAATACCATAACAGCTTCCTTTGCGTGTTTGGTCAAAAGTGGTTTTATAATAATTTATTACATCAGTCTTCTTAAACATGCCCCCACCCCCAATCCATCAACTGTAAGTGAAATTCATGCACTTGACAGCAGTTTTTAATGTTTAACTGAGTAGCTCTCAGTCCACAAAACGTGATTGTTTTACAGCAGCTGAAATTGAAAGCCGAGGTCTGCTTTAATACTCCAATGAAGAGACAAAGTCATGTAGCATCACCACCAATGAAAATGAGGTCTGACATTTGCAAATAATTTACCAATGATTAAGCCTTGAAATCTTCATTACGCAATCTAGTATATAAAACTGAAAAAATGTATATATACAAGAAAAATCTTAAAATGTATGGTAAATTTTGTTCTATATATGTTTTAAAAAAACCTACTTGCTTAACGTTAACCCCTGGAGCACCTGTTTCAAAAAGTAAACAAATTCGATAGACCCATAGTGTCACAAAATTTGTATTTTACACACACTTGCACAAATCCATGGGATGCCAGTGTAACCCGCTGGCAGCACATTTGCTTGACACCGTTACAGCAGACATGAAAATGGAGAGGAACGAAAAAACAACAACAGAAAACACATTCACCCCTCACTCTTGCCTCGTCTCTATACAGCCACGGTGATCACCTATACACATCACCTGCCAACATCAGTGGATCACATCCCCATAGTGTACAGGCACTCTAGGTTACATTTTATGAGAAGTAATCTCTCTAGGACAAAAATATCACCACTGCCTTCCTGTTTCCAAGTTACGCTCATGATCTTCATCATTATTATTATTATGTTATAAAGACCCTTTGCCCCTCCCCCAGCTGCAGAAAAAGAAAACGATGAGAATTTACAAAACCCTGTAAAAACTATACTCCGTAAGGAAAAATGTTAAACTTAAAACTCAGACATAACAAAACGGATTAAAAATTGTTTCATTCTCCATTCAAAACACCCCGATCTTTTGAGTATGACCTTTTGCCCATGCTCTGTGATTCCGTCGAACACTGGTGCAAATACAGGAAAATTAAAGTCGAGAATTTGGTTCCGTCTGGCTGTCCGTTTCTGGCCGAAGGCCCTCCCCACCCCCGTATGCAAGCAGAAACTCTGGTCAGCGCTCCGGCCGCACAGATCAGTCTATTTTGACAGCGGCGTAGATTTTCCTTATGAACATGTACGCTGCGTAAAATCCGATCGTCCCGGTTAAAAGCCAGAAGGAGAGGACCATCAAAGTTGTGTATCCAAAGTAAAGGAGCGACGGGATGAATTCTACAATATCCAACTGCAACCACAAAAAAAAGTCACATCAGTAGGGCAACGATTACTTTAGCACCACTCTTGGTCAAAGCCGAATCGGTCGTCTTTCACCAACGCGGGGAATGAAAAACTTCACATCAGCTAACAGCATCAGGGATCGTGTCCATTTCTAGAGATTCACAGTGCAGCAGGGTTCTTGGTTACCATAAACTCCGGAGGGGTGAAAATGAGGAGAAAAAAGGCGGACAGTGGATCTACAAATTAGAAACATTAAGCGATCAAACAGGAAGCTGAACCCCCAGTCTGTACCAGCCAATTGGAAATCGTGTTTTTTTTTACCAACTTTTTCACAACTGAAGAAAGAGGAAGACCTGCCACACTGTGGATCTTACTGACCATCCCTGGGTAGCTTACAGTTATATACACATTCTGTTTAACAGGGGTGGATTAAGTGTGCCTGTTATGACACAAACAACCGAAATTCTGTTAAAAAGAATTTGAGGTGCGAAAAACACCCCCAACAAATCCCACATTTGTGCTTCTGCAAACCGTTAAAGCAAAAGTAAAAGAACAGCAGAGTAACTTTCACAGATGCCGAGAAGCAAAGCTTCAAAATGTGTATTTTTCAATGAATGATCGGCTTGCCTGTACTTACCCTATCTGAGAACGAGCCTTACCTTGTTAACAAAGTAAAAGATGGCATAGATGAGAACATAGAAGGCGGACCCTCCGGAGACCAGGAACGTTCGCCACCACCACCTGTAATCCTGCAGGCAGACAACTGTGGTTACACTTTGCTTTCGGAATCTCCAACTCAGAACTTTTGTTTGTTACGTTTTGCCTATACAACAGATGGAAGCATTCAGCGATTTAGATTTCTGAAATACCTCCTGGTATGACTTGAAGAAAACATTCCACAATGTCTCAGAAAGATCACTCACCTCAGATTCAGGGCACTGTGCATGTACTTTTTCTCTTGAGCTCCAGAAATTATGTGTTCACTCTCTTTGCCTTAACCTAGTTATTTCACTGAAATCCTGATTGCCCCTTACCACGATGATGAGTGTTCAATACTTGGACATCAGTATCAAGCATAGTATGATTGAAACAAAATTAAATAATACTAGCAATTTGTGGATATAGGAGTACTGATACATTACTTAGGTCTGTGATTATGAATGAAATGTTTTCTGACAAGGACATGAAGTATAAAGAACATTAAAACAGGTTAAAAACAGACACAGTCCAGCCGGTCATTTAACCTTTAATAACTGACTTAACTAAAAAAAAAGGGTTTTCGGATGTGCTGGTGTGTCTCTATATATTCTGAAAGGTTTTAAGGATCACACATGAAAACAATGAGGACTGTAACCCACCTCTGCACACAGCTGGAAATAAACCATCACGATGCTGATCTGAGAGCAGGACACCACCAGGATGATGAACACTAAAAACAGGAATCCAAACAGGTAATAGAACTGGTTTTCCCATATGGCCTGCAGGAGGGAAACAGGAACACTTGTTAAACTTGTCAAAAAAGGTTTCACTCTTTAGAATTTTATAAACCAACCCTCTCTAGAATAAACTGGTTAGACCTCCAGCTCATGACGATGATGACACTAAGAGATCCAGAATACTTTTTTTTTTACAATTATATATTTCCAAGGAAATTTCAGACATTTTCTAAAATGAATAAAACAGTAATTTCACAAATGAAAATAAAATGAATAAAAAGTTATATACAAAGAATCAAAACAATGTAAACACACTATGCCTGTATAAATTTACAAAAATAACAAATAATGAGTTGATTAATGAGCAACTTTCTTTTGACACTGATATATTATATTAGTGTTATGAGACAAAAAGTCACCAAAGGCAGTATGACACTGCCTACAAATCACATGCTACCCCAAGTTAGACCTCAGCTATAAAAGCTTTCGACTCATTTTAATATCCATTTGAGGTATGAGTTGTAAATGGAGCTGAATCTTTCCAACAGTCCGTTGTAAAATCCAGGCCGACTTACACTGAAGATGAAGAAGAGCTCTATGAACATTGCACCGAAAGGCAGAATCCCAGCCATAAGAATTCTAAAAAAACCAATAAAAAGCAAAGCTTTGGAACCGGGTGACAAGAAACTTATCGAATACAATGACCCTGTTTAAATGTTACTGTTCACATATTTCCCAAAGCTGGATGGATCCTATCCCTAACAGATTCAAGCCAAGTAAGTAATGACGTCAACACTACAGATTCTAAGCTTCTGGAACAAAAACAAAGCCGAAAATTAAACACCGAAACAAACTGACAAATTGAAGACTGAAACATGCGGTGGGTGACTAAATTAACCTTACCCAACGAACTTGTTCATGTACCACCTCTGTTCGGGGATCTGTCGGGGGATCTGGTTGGTGCGCACGGGGTTATCGTAGGGCTGCTTCCGGAATCCGAAGTAGTATCCCAGGTAGACCAGCGGCATGGAGATTCCAAACCACATGCACAACAGGGCCACCATGGTCACAAACGGCACCTTCCAGCAGACACACAGCACCGTCAGTGCAACATCAGTGGACACAGCAGACAACTTACAAGATCTTAAAGATTTCTAAAACAAAAGGCTGGACTAAAAAAAAAAAAATCTCAAGGGCACTCTTGAGGCGTCTTGGACACCACCAAGGCTTGAGCATGTCAATTAGCCAGTAATAATAATAATAATAATAATAATAATAATAATAATAATAATAAAGAGGTGAGAGGTTGTGTTTTCTTTCTTTTTTTCAGCATGAAATAAACCTATTACTTGTTCCTTTGCAGCCTACGCATGCTGATGCAGTTACCCACCTGAACTACTATATCTGTAAATTTGTAAAATGTTTGGTAGAAATTCTAAGGGCATGTGCTAATGAAAAGAAAAAAAGAAAAAAAGGCTGGTGGGAGTCATGCTGTTGAAGCTGGGATCAATTAGGTACTATCTACCAAAAAGGCTAGATGGGCCATATGGCCCCCTCTCCTTTGTGCCCTGTCTTATGTACTTATGTAAAAAGTCAAATACACTAGACCTCGTTCCACATGGCCTTACCGCCCCAGAGGAGTGCTCTCCCCAGATGAAACAGTTCAGGATAAAACAGATCCCAAACACGACAGCAGGGTACAAGGTAGCAGTCTGAAAGGTGTAGGAAAAACAAACACGCTTCAGCAATAGTCTGAGTCTTGCTCACCTAAATCATCCTGAGATAATCGTAACTGGAGTCTGAGGAACAACTGGGACAAGAATCTGTGCCGCTGACACTAGCGTATTCATGAAAGACTCATATTAACGTATTTCCAAATTCATAACATGGCATACTTTAGCAATAATAAAGGCCCCATTTCAATGGTGACTGTTACTCACGCAGAAAGCTCCTTTCCTCCACCTGTGCCCCTTCAGAGTGCGGTACAGCCGGCCAGCGAAATACCCTCCAAACACACTACCAGGGGGGACAGAACCATAATCAAAGTCACACTCAGAAGGCCACAGTCCACAAGAGCCTGACAGGGTTAGTCAGGGTAGAGACAATACCAACTGAGAATCAGTGAGGCACTTGCAGGCCGTGGATTGTCATTGTAAGAGTGAGGTGCCTACCCCATGAACATGAACAGGAAGCAGGCTGTTGTCATCAGGGCTCCTCTGCTCGATGGCGACAGCATCCCCAACATGGCAACAACTAGAAAAACAACAGATCCAAGTGAGCTCTTGCATGACAATTAGACCAAGTTATGTCGTTTTGAGGTCCAGGAGCCTTTGTCAATGCTAATGCAACTGTTTTTAAAGTGCATCTATCCATGCACTTTTTAGACCAGCCTACAAAGTGTAATGGTGATCCTACTTTGCATTTGAAAGAAAATCAGAAACAGCAGTAGCTGCCAAGGATTCAACCATTAAATCTCATTACTGTGCCAGAATACTCACTGATTACTATCAGCACCATGCAGAAGAGCTGAATGCCAGAACCTAACATAGAGCTGAGGATCATGGGATACTGGGGTGGGCGGAACACGTCACCATGAACATTCTTCCAGCCTGATTCTTCCATTGTGTCCTCCTGAGAGGGATAAGTAAAAGTAAAATTACCATGAAGAAGGAAATGACAATAAACTGATCAGAAAATTGTTGGAACAGCTTTAATCTCTATATCTTGTGTCTTGTGCAATCTCATCAAGGGTCACTTTCTCTAATAAACACAACACACGAAAACAAAAGGACAGGAAAGGTTTTCACTAAAGTCTCCCACACTTGATATTACTTACAATGTCATCTTCTTTGTTGTAATTAGCAATGTCCTTCCTCAAAGTTCGGATGATGATCATGCTCAGAATGCCTGAAAAAACAAAGTTATTATCGCATTAATTTATTTTCCAAAGCCCTTTTGACATCGGAAGCACGGATATGAATAAATTCTTTGCACAATAAATTTAAGATCCAGTTATTCAAAATATTCTGTGACATTTACCGAATGGCAATTAATGTTCACTGTCTGTAAGTAAAACAAATCTTGAGCGACCAGAGCATTAATTCCAGAGGCAGCCCATGTTCTTCCTCGTACTGTACAAGGTAAAGCCATGCATTCTTAGTGACTACTGCTATAACCCACAAGCTTAGCAAAATGAGGCACTGACATTGCTATTATTGACTAAATGGTAGCGCATAGTCTTGCATGCAAAATAGTCTGAATTAGATGTAGAGTGTATAAAATAATAATACTATGAAATGATCATGCAACATGACTACAGAACTGCAGTTGTTTTGTAATCCCTGGAATATGAGAAGGGAACAACCCAACATTCTGGCGTTTTTGTGGGTAGGAGGATTTCTATCACTCCAAGTCTAGTGCAGTCATTAGGAATCTCAAATGCAGATGATTAATTCTCAGATATTTAAGTATTTTTGTTTTCCTCTTCCTTTCGTGTGAGAAACAGTATAATTTTATTACATTAAAAGACATCTTGAGAGATGCATCAGGCCAGTGGATTTTAAGGTGTGACAAAATATGTTCAGTGGCCAACCCATCTGACCAGTGGCCTGGCCAATTCACTTCCAGCCCTCTCTGTACCAAATCAAAGTATGGACCACTGGAAAACAGGGAAGTGAACTGCTGACTGCTGCAAATCACAGGCGTAATCCGTGTAGCAGAAGGTAATTTTACATTGACTGATGTCACCCCATCAGAGAAAAAGGTACACATGTGCACGGTACAATATGCCATGAGTTTGAGAGACTTGGGATAATGAAGAAAAACCAGAAAGGTGCAGCACTATATTGGGTATGATACCCTGAATTTTTTTCTCTATAAAATTTCATATTCAATGGACAGCCATTTAACAGTAAAAGTAACAGGCAACGCCGCCCTTTACCTGACAGGAAGAAGACGACGACAACAGAGTTAACGATAGAGAACCAGTGAATTTGAACATCACTCATGGTGAGGTAAGTGTCCCAGCGAGAGGCCCATTTCACAGAACTCTCCTGTGGAGCACAAGACAGAAGAAGACCTGGTGTGTTGTAACATGACCAAGAGAAGCAGGGGCACCATCACGGTTTAGTCTCTGAAATGCTTCTCTTACAAAGCAGTTTAAATCTGCATTTTTGCTATTTTAATACTGACAGCATATATATATATATGATATGCCTGTTAATAGTTATTTTCCAGTCCAACTAATCTTGTGCAGAGGCAGCCTCTTTTGAGGTTGAGGTCACAGATTCACAACCCCTGCTGAGAACAGCCCAAGGCAGGAAGACTCAGTTCATGGCAAACTCAACCTTTTTAAAACTGATATAATAATGTTTGAGAAATTGCCCAGAGGTGTGCAGAGGAGGCCGCTGATGCAGCTTTAACTCACAAACTTAATAGGATTGGTCACATTTGAGCTGCAAATAGTGATTTTTGCCTCAGCTGGAACATTTGATCAGTACTGCCTGCCGATGAGTTCAGAGAAGTGCCACGACAGAAAAACATAGATTATAAAGACTTCAAGGAATCATGTTCCTTGAAGGAATTTCGAGGAATCATGTTCCCTCAGCTTGATCAGTGTTCAATGTGTTTCGGCGGCCCTCTTACCTCCCAGTGGACAGAGTAAGTGAAGAGAACCTCATTCTCCTTCGCAGGGTCTATCACCTGGGCAGCAAAACCATTGCCACTGGTCTCAGGCAGAGTGCAGGTACCTTTGTCATCTGTCTTCAGGTCTGAAGAGGACAAGACGGAGTCCAATCATGTCTACTACTCTGAGACTCTTCAGGTATAAAACCTAGCAATAACAGCACTAGCTTATCCTATGCAGAACTAGCATCGGGTACAATGACTAATTCTGTTTAGTTTTTTAGTCTACTAAAACAGCCTGAACAGGTGCTCAGTGGACCACAGCACAACTAATGCTGTCATTGTTACTGCTGTGTCTGTGCGACAGCAGCAGATCGTGTGGATAGTTAAAAAGGCCATAGCTGAAACACTCTTACAATTTATTGTATTTTTTTCAACAGCAAGTGCAGTTTATTACTAGGGTGGTCACACACATAGGACTGTGGCATTACAGCAATGCCATATGGACCCTGCAATGTGGTTAAGGGCGTGGACTTGCAGTAAAAACAAGAGGAACACAAAGAAGGTGACGGAAAGATTGTATGGTAGAATTTCAGAAACAGGAGTTGAAGAAATAGATCATGCGCAGAAAAACAAAACCTCTACACAAAGTTTAAATGCATTTTACACTTTAACCTATTTTTTAATGTCTATTTCTATTACTATCATTTTTGTAGCAAAAAACCTTGCAAAACATTTGCAGTAAACGCAAACGTGACTGGCAAGTGACAGAATTTCTTTTGCTTTTGTGCTAGCAGCAGGAGAAGCAGTCACTTGCGCAGGAGAGTCTACCTTCCAGGGCGACACTCTGGGGGATGACCTCGAAGCGCACCACTCTGAAATTGGGCTCCTCTTCCTCCTCCACCTTCTCTTTGTGGTAATACAGGACGAAGGACAGGTGGTTGTGCAGGAAGAACTGAAAGAATGTGGACAGCTCAGAGATAAGAATCTGTCGCAGTGGTTGCAGTTTAACACTCTGGGTTCCTGTACTAGTGCCATGTGACTGCGCAGGGCTTTCACAAACCTAGGCATCTGCCGAGCAAAGGGTTTACACAACATGAAGTGAAAAATAAAGGTGGGTGTTTTAAACACAGGCTCTAAAAATTTAAACTAGGGATAGGCAATGAAAGAAGTTCAGTTAAGTATGCAAAGCCTGTGCTGGAGCACAACGTAAACTTTCCAGCTGTCTTATCAAAACAGGCTTAAAAGTTGCAGTCTTGCACTTAGTACATTTGTTTTAAATGCATGTCCTGTAGCTCTGAGTAGGTAATAATGATTTTCAGACACAAGGGAATACAATTAACGCAGATGATACATTTTGCAGCCCCAGACACGTACTCTGCCTTTCTGTGTGAAGCCCAGCCTGTAGCCATGCTCGAACTGCACATCTTTCTGCGTGTCCTTCTTCTGCTCTTCATCACCTTCCCCCTCTGCAAAGGCCTCCAGTCGTGTGGCCACTGGCAGGTTATCTGCGATGCTGGAACAGCGCAACAGAGCAAACCAGCTGAAGGAGAACAGCACCATGCCATTGACAGAGGGGTAAGAGGGAATGAAGGCAACAGGTTCTGTGCAATGGGCCCAAATAACCACACACACTGATTCATACAAACATGTCTGAAAGCTGCAACACTGAACAGGCATGATCTTCAGAGTGAAGGACAGATGTCAGTGCTCTCTTAAGCTGCAGCAGCACTTTAAAGACGAGCTCAATTTAAAATGCCTCCACTGCCAAAGACAGAAGTTTTGCTACAAGTGCTGGCACAGTGGAACTATCTTCTCCTCCCTAGTGAGACATCGAGGGCCAGCAGGGTAGCAATCACAGCTTTCTTACTTACAGATGGACGTAGTACTCCTCCTTGATGCGCTCCGCCATCAGCTTGCTTTCCTCTACGGAAAGCTTCAAAGGCTTTTTGGGTCTGTCACACAGAACTTCACACTTCTTCTCGCTGGTCATGCGAACTTCGAAGGGGGTGTTGACAATGCGGTCCCCTCTCAGCACCTCCCCTGTGTGAAACAGCCACCCTTAGCACCGTAGAGCCCGACTGGCGCTGAAACCAACCCGCTCTCAGGACAACATTGCAGAGTGCGGGACGCACCTTCTCTCCTCACCTCTCGTGAAAAGCCTTACACGGCGCCCCGTCCGTCACACGGTGCTTGCGAGCTGGCTGTTTCTAGTTTTATTAACAAGTCACTCAGCTGAGCAGTTAAGAGAGGAATTGTAAGGTGTGAAGCGGAAACTTGCCAGAGCAAAAGAAAACCAGCACGAGCTCAGTACCGATACCCATGTGCCAAGAAACGGAACTTTCACTGCATGCTAATAATAACACGGTAATTTAAGAAATGACCCAGCATGTCAAAAACACAATGCAGCTCTTTTACCTTGATCAGGGTTATTGACATGCCCTTTTAACTTAACAATTCTGTTGCAGAAGGTTTTCAGGATTTCTGCTAGAGTACTCAAAAGATGTTTGGATAGTTCGGAGAAATCTCTATAAAATAACTCATGGAGCGCAATCCTGGGCCAGTATATTGCAGGGCAACAGCTGCAATCACCATGGACAACCTGGCATGGGCTGCGTCTCCCCGGGTGTGCCTGCACACAAACGAACTCACCCAGATTTTCGGCCTTGTAAACGACTTTGTCCGGCCGGCAGAATGGCAGGGAGTAATACTCGTATGGCAGCTGGGTATGGGAGCTCGTCAGCTTAACAGCCTGCGGACACCGGAAAGAAAGAGCCATGAGTCCTGTTTACACGCCAGCCAAATCCCAAGGAAACACACAGAATGAGGGAACACGGCGCTCACTGTGACAACTTTACAACACCAAGGCCATCTTCAGGGTTAAACTGTCGGAAATGAAGATTATTCCCTTTTGCCTTCTTATTCGAAAGTTTAACAGTTTACCTTGATTTCCACAACATCATTCTGGTGGAAGTTTATTGGCGCAACTCCAGGCACATAGAAGGAATTGGTAGTGTGCAGAATGGACACCAGCACGAACAGCCATGTTTCCTGAAACAGAAGATACAGCTTTTTGTAATGGGGCCTGACTGGTCATCTTGAAGAACAGGACAAACTGAAACCTTTTATATGTACACAGTCCACAAAAGACCAGATTTTTAATCTATATCTAACCTTCTAATTTACTAACCTGTTCAGCAAAGCAGTTATGGATAAGTGCTTAACAATTTAATATATGCTCTTCACTTTTTGAAAGTAAAACACAGCCACAATCAATTAAGTACTACAAATTATTTTCAGAAAACATCCTGTTATTTGTATCCAAAGGCTATAAAAAGGCATATCCCCCCTCCTTAACTATATTAAGTGCTTCAAAATGTCTTTAATTTCATGACTCATCCACACATGCAGGCTCACAAACACAAACAGATCAATGACAGAAATCATTTATATTGGCGACGCCCCCAAGCTCTCCTCAAACTGACACAGTAATTAACAGGTATAAAAGTTGTCTTAAACAAAATTAAGTTTGCAAGGTGAGGACGTGTTTCTGTATTTTCAGTACAACAAAAACGGATTTTTGAAAATGGTCAAACCCACCAAAACATTAATAGATATGTTGGCATATATATCAATTCCTAAACTCCATTAAAGCAGCATATTGACATCTTAGCCTGAACACCCAAAACCTTCAATAGTGTTTGCTTGGGTGAAGAATGTTCAATAAACATCACAGATTTAACAATCTCATTGAAATCTTTAAAAACAGTTTGAGCATGTTTAACAAAATTTCAGAGCTGCTCCACCTTGTCTTCTTTTTTATAGGCTTATCCATCCTCACTCAACAGGAAGTTGGAACCTAAATCCTTATTTGCTATCCCCAAAAGGGCAGTTACTCACTGATCTGTCTCCGTTCACATTAGGAATTCTCAACAACTGGGTTTTCTTTGCAAACTGCAGCAGATAAGACTAGTCTGAGGAGCTGGACAAAGTCTACTTTTCTTGTGTTTGGCTGGGATTATTACATTTGCTTCTGCACGTTTTTCTCCTTTCTTCTCCTTGGTGTTTTGACTAAAACACTGTGATGCACACTGTGTAGCTCTGAAGGAAGTGAATGAGGCCTGTCTTGGTTCTTTCTCTAATTCGTTCTGTGAGTGATCCAAATGACAGCCGAGGGAATAGGATTTAAATAAACAGAAATATAAGTTATTCAAAATGATCCATAAGTGCCCTGCTTGGCAAAAATAACCCCCCCCCCCCTCCACATTTCATTAAGAGATTTTAAGAAAGAAGAGGACACCACTCATCCTTCGCAGAACAATCATAGCTTAGTGCACTGACTGGGGTAATACACGCCTGAACCCTTATCACTGCTAAGTGCACTGACTGGGGTAATACAAGCCTGAACCCTTATCACTGCTAAGTGCACTGACTGGGGTAATACAAGCCAGAACCATTCGCAAAGCTTAGTGCACTGACTGGGGTAACACATGCCAGAACCATTCGCAAAGCTTAGTGCATTGACTGGCATAAATCAGATTCTTTCGCCAAGAAAGACTACCTGACACTTCATTCCCCTAAACAAACATTTTTCCCCATCTGCTTCGCCTTGTGCAAACAAAAATTCACCATGCATCTCCTACAGTACTACAGCTCATGCTTTTGTTTCATTGGTTGATTCAACACAAGTTTAACCTGTGGTCACTACTGGCTGATTGACTAGTTACAAATTAAACTTCTAAAGGGAAGAAGGGAAGCTTCAAACAAAGCTGCTTTTATCATTTTTGAAAAGCACATTCCTTGAAATTCACCCCATTCTTTAATTTCTTATTTCTTGCTTGAGACCTCAATACAAACCCAATATTAAAGATAACCACATCAACTTACCCTCAGTACAATCCACGTACAAAGAATATAATTTACACAGGCCTCATACTTTATTTTTATAAAACTTTATATACATTATAAAACTAAGCCTTCTCTTAAGCAGGGAATTAACAGTCAAAATATACAGAAATGTATCATTTATGCACTCTGATGCTAAACATTTTGACTCTGCATAAGTTGTATGTGTTTTGACGATTCATTTTGTGGCAGCTTTCAAAGGTTTACAGTTTCATTTCCAAACTGTAAAAAAAACAAACATGTATACATTTAGACTTTATTTTTGAATCTACACAAAACGATACAATAAATTCAACTTTTATATCGGTATATATAAACTTTTACTTGACACCCACTGACAGACAACCCTGTACCTTGATGTAACACAAGTCATGTAATTGTGGTTTCTTCTTGATTGCCCATTTTTAAAATTAAACATTTTTAAAATTAAGGATTGCAACCGTGCAGATAAAACTGAACTATTCTTTAACACACTGCAGTTACTTTACTGGGGCTATGGAAGCATCAGTACTGTGCACACCTTCATATGAAACTCCTCAGAATAACTGCTTTGCAAAATGTTTAGAAATAGGTCAACTACTGTAGTTTATTTGTCAACCCAGGTTTTATCTCAGCCTGGCTGTAGGCTAGCAAGCTGATCAGCAGGCGTCACTGTGGTGTGACAAGTTAATACCTAAACCAGACTGCTGTTATTCTTTTCCACATAATATACTTTTTGCATATCTCAAAGAAATATCTGTAGCTTGGGGCCCATCCACACATCGACCAGGGATCTCCTACATTAATAGCTCGGAATCTTAAGAGACAGAGGGTTTCTAAATACATTTTCATGCCTATATGATACAAACGATCACTCAATGGCGTTTCATTCATATTATTTATATTTAAAATTATACTGTGGATAAATTAACATAGTGGACAAAACATGAAAGATCTGGGTAAATGGAGGACATTAAGTATATTGAAAGAAGAGGCTTCCACACAGGTGTGGCTCATGGGTTGATTAAGCAAACATGCTTAGGGTCATGTATAAGAAAGCCGGACAGGCCTGCCTGACTATAATTACAGCTGGCTTGGCCTTAAGAGGAGAGGCCGATGTTTCACATGCAGTGGCTTAAGGTGTAGAACTCCAAGGGGAAGACATCAGCAGCAAAGGGCATCAGTGGGCGGAAACACAGACTCTGTGAGATCCGAGGCTTAGTTCAAAGGGAAATGCAAAACAGACGAGCAGCTGCAGCTCAACTCTCTGCCAATTTCACCCTGGGGGCATCAGCGGCCAGTTTTATCAACAACAGTCTGTCGAGAACTCCACAGAGCAGGGTACTGTAGATGCGACTGCAGTGCTCAAATGGCTCATCAATCCTGGCGCCTTCCAGTGGTGCAAACAAAGCACAGGCCATGAACGACTGAGCAGTGGAGAAAAGTGATATGCTCAGATGAATGATCTTTCATTATGTTCTTGACAAATGGTGGAGAGGATCTGCTCTGCCAGATGGTGGTTCTGTAACATTGTGGGGTGCCTTTTCCTGGAATGGTTTCATTCCCTTAGAAGTCAAGGTTAAACTCTCTCACTTAATGAGGGATCATCTTCACCAAATATTTGTAAAAACTCCTTCCTGCCGGGAAGGGGTGTCTTTTAGGATGACGAAGCCCCCATCCACAGAGTGCTTGCCCAGTGGTTTGATGAGCCTGACGCTGATATCATGCATATGTCCATATCCATATGGACTTCTCCATCACCACATCTGAACCCGGGCGAACACTGATGGGATCAGCTGACCCTTGTGGAAGCATGGAGCCATGGAGCCATGCCCCCCCCGAAGAATCCCAGACACCGGCAGACTCTATGCCACGGCACATACAGGCCATACCGACACCTGTGATGGCAAATGTCCTATTAAGTCTGGTGTTGTAATTTTTCCATCCACTACCTGTTCATCTGCCACACCAGCAGAACATTAAGGAATAAAACCCCAACAGAAGCCTGATTCATCTCTGGCGGTGGTTACAGCTATACCTCATAAACGAAGAAATCCAGTTGGACGACATTAGCTTCCATTTACGAAACACAACACTGCAATACACGGCTGTATATGTGGATACATGCGTGTCAGATTATTACTGTAAGGCAAAGCAACACCTTAAATACCAAAACCGCAGTTAAGGCGAATAAGTCGAAATGATCAAATATAAAATCCAAACCGTATGGACACTCACATCATTTTGATACAATAAATTGACGAATGTTTAAACTAACAACCAGAATACATACAGCTAGCTGTGGAGACGAATCTGAAACTCAAACAACTGTTGCCAATATTTCCTTAGACCATTTATTCATCTTTCGGCTTCCCAGTCCTAAAAAAAAACTCCAGGTCCAATGAAGACTACAGTACACACAGGAAGCAATCGGCCTCCCAATCCAAACAATGATCTTAAACGTCTTAAAACAGAAATCCAAGTGCCTCCGAGTGTTCCCGGTTTACGGCTAAATGCTGTCACGAGGTGACCTTGCCAATTACCGATCCGTGAGAGACGAATAAGAAGAAAAGAAATTAATTTTTTTCGTTTCTACTCACCATCGCCGCCGCCATCTTGAATACACGTGTCATTCGTGACGTCAGCGGAAGCGGGGTTTACCAATGAACGAGCCCGGACCCGGTAGGGAGGTAATTGGAGATTCCCTCGGTTTCTAGACAACGAACCGGGAAGCAGTAGTATTTATGCCTGAAACCAAAACAGTGGCTTTTGTTGACCTTTCAATACCTGATGTTGCAAGAGTTCTAACATGAAATCAATGCTGAGATATTAACATGCGGATAAACTCCACGTCATGAATACACTATTTAGGAAAGTGGCGCTGTTAGTGAGTAGTGCTCAACATTTCAAGGAGACTTCCATCGGTTTACTGCTTTCTGTCGAGGATAACCCACTTGCATTCTTTAAAATTAAACTATTTTAGCCACACACGATCTCAAAGAAACGTAATTGCCTTTATTACTACAATATGATTAACGGCAACTCGAGACAGGACAGTAATAGTTATGCTTCCTGTGGTTCAAGAATATAGAGTAGTTAACAAACTGCAAATCCACAGTCTGCATGTGTCCAGCTCTAGTAACGTACCCATTAATCCTTTTGAAGATTGAGCATTGACTAGCTTTTTCACCAAGTTGTGTTCAGGAAAAAGGTGAAAATAATTGTAAGAGATGCCCCCAACGTTTTATTGAACACGTGTGCCACTGGTAAATTCGTTGCAGTAATTCACATTAACATTTGTCATTAATCGGATTGATCCGCAAGGGTCTGTTTTGAAGCAGTTGGCCGTTAGAAGCCATACAAGCATGCTTTGCAACATGTTGCAGATTCTGTCTTGTGGACATCGGTACCGTCCACCCCCCCCTGGTAGAATCTGGACAAGTTTGTGTCTGTTTACTGGTTTCTAAGACCGAGGTGCCCCTCATCATCCCCACTCATCCCAGAGACATTCAGTGTGGGCTCAGGTTTGGCAAGCAAGGCATGGTTAGCACAACTCTTGTATTCTCATCTGTCTGTCGTGTCAGGATGAGCCTGCCTGAACAGCATGCACCTGCACCAGCATGTACCTGACATAAGGGCATTGCTATTTTGATTAATACAATATATTGGTTCCTTTCTGTATTTTTATCTCTTGACATTAATCAAGTTAAACGGCGTGTGACTCAATTTAATATACATTAATATCAACAGCCATATACTAAAAACCACACTTGCATAAAAAGAGTGCTCAGTGTATATTGAATTGCAATCATATATATTGTGACCATTATGAATATTTCAGAACAGTGCATTTTTCATGTCACATAGCCACCCAGGCAATGGTATCCAAAGCTCATAACTTCACACATGATATTGAATATTGAGTTATTTTCTACTTGTTGAAACATACATAATGCAGTGGTACAGTCGAACGGTGGTACAGTCTGTCATTTTCTAAATTTTAATGTGGACCATAATTTAGTGGAAAGAGTTTTCCCAAAGAAGACATATTGCATTGAAGTGAAGAGCAATCCAAATCTGATATATAATACAATAACATCCGCTTGAGAGGGTACAACAGTGTGCTTTACTAATCTTCCAGAGTATTGAATGTTTTTCTTTTCAAATGCCTTTTTGGTCTTTATGAACCAGATTCTGCGTGGCGCTGTGCCCATGTGCCCCGAGAAGGCGTTGCCAGTGGTGCCATCCAGTAGAGGAACAGGAACCACAAGACAGACGAAAGAGAGCACCAGAACAATGCAGAAGAACGTGAAAGTAGGAAGCAGTGTACAATGCACATTGCCCTCTGCACCGCACCCGAATGGATGAAAAATCTTACGGCACAAGCTAAATTTGCTAAACTGATATATGGGGCGGAGTGGTGGCACTTTTAGAACCTTGCCTTAAAACACCGTGTTCAAAAAGTACCAAAATAACTCCACAGTAGTCACAAACATTGAAATTATCAGCTTTATTCAGTATTTTAAATGTATCTGCTGTAAATCTGCTTCAAATTTCCAGATTTTTACTTTATGTAACCTGCTGCTGAAATGGAATATAAATTAAGCTTGATTTGTGCCATGTACGTGTTAGGATTACAAATAATCTTCAAGTTTAGCTGAACTTTTGATTTTTGACCACTTTTGATTCAGAGGCTTAGCAAGAACTGCCAAACTGGCCAAGTTAAGAGTAGCACAGAAAGAGCACTACTGCTCCTGATCAAAGCATGTTGCCAACACTCTACCAGGCTGGTTTTTCAGAAGGAACCTGATTGAGTTGAAACAATTGATTCTGAAGCTTGAAACAAAGTCAAGAGTGAAGAGAAAAACGGACCCCCGTGTTTTTCTTGTAAAAGCCAGATTAGTTCAAAATCACTTGTATCATCATGGTACATCACAGCAACACAACTGTTTTTCCGTTGTTTTTTTAATTTGACATCTGCAAAATTAAGTGTGAACAGTAACAGTGAACATTATCAAAAGCAGAACGCGTTAAATAGCCATTTACATGATAACGAAGCAATTACAAGATTTATGTTTAAAGAATTCAAACAACTAAATTTAAATACATCATTTTAAAATTGTATTTATAATAACAAACGACACCTCCTTAGGGCTATTTGTTAAGCCCCACTCTCTTCGACAGTACACATTTCTCATACAGCAGGAAAGCAAAAAAATGAAAACAAAACCCGTGCAAAATAAATTAAAATGCAAAACTTTGGGTATACACAAATATATTGCATATTTTACACCTCCCAGCTTACTCATGACGGATACAGAAAAATGACTGAATTTGAAACAAATACTAGCTTAAAAGAAATGCAAAACATGCAATCACTTTTTAAGGGAGTCATTTAATGGAATCATAAATTCAGAAATATTTTGTGTGGCAATGTTGTCAATATGGAAAAGTTTGAAATAAACTCAGGATGCTTCAAGGTAATACAAATTATTATTGTCTTCCAGCAATAGGAGAATTAGACGTCTTGAAAACAATTCTGAAATCAAAAGGCTTTTTGCTTTGGTTCAGTGTTAAAAGGCTAAAAACCTTTCAAAGATATTGTCTGCGCTTTAACTTTAGAACAATGATGACCACACAAACACAATCACAAAAGAAATGGCACGTGATAGGTGCCAGCTCCCCCCGACCCTGAATCGAAGGGAGCGATTGGTAAATCAGTGGATGCCACATGAATAAGTTACAGCGTAGAGTGGGCTCAGGGGGCAGAGTGATGTGAAGTTCGCCCTCTGCTGGTAACTTGTGGTTTCCTATTTCATGAAACAACTACTCACAATTTTTTGGTAATGGGAAATGAACTCAAAGGCCTACCTCTTTACTGAGACCCAGTACAGTATCGATTTGTTAACCCAAGTGTGACGCATGTGTGGTTACTAAACTTAACAGAAGGGTTGTGTCCTATAAAAAGCCTAATATAGGCTATATACTGTATAAAACCTCAGATCTCAGCATTTCCTCAAAGCTACACCTGATTGGACTGTCTAGTAAACATACATGTTTTAATACCGGTGACCTGAATTTGTGGCACTCATGAGTGAGACAACTTGCACGGCTGATATTTCTACATGGAACAGAGCTGGACTGTGAAAAAGGTTCATGCAGTCTCAGATGCATTGTGAAATCCAGTCATGATTCTGAAGTGCTCTTCTCTGCAACTCTTCAGTGGGTCCTGCAAACAATGTAACTACGCAAGTGAAATAAGACAACTGAAAGATTTGCAAAATGAAAATGAGGGTTACGTTCCGTAAACAGGGAGTGCCACATTTTACATGAAATGCTTTTTAAAAATTTTCACATGCAGTAGGAATGTATATTTTAACAATGTATTTTTCACACACACTACATAAAAAAAAATATACACCTGAAATCCTATAAGAAGCACTTGAAAATAAGGACTTTTTTTAAAGTACCATGAGTTCTACAACTAAATATGTTTATGGAAAAAAAGAGAAAGTTAATGAACACAAACATACCAAAGTTTCCTTTAGTATCTAAAGCTAAATATAGTAATGCACATTAAATTACCTTAATTTTAATTCCTTATCTGGAAGTAAACAGTACTGTGAGCGCTTTGAGAGAACGACAGATATATTAAGGCACGTTCACTATCCCACATGTTAAAACTGCTGTCTCGGGACCAAGATGAGTCTGCAGGGGCTTGGGACAGAAATCCATTCAGCGGCATTCTTCTCTGTGAAGGCTCCTCCAGATGTTGTGAATGATTGGTAAGAAAGATAAAAACAGAAACAATGGACAGGAGAGCAAATATAGAAGACTAGTCTGAATCACATTTTTGTTTTTGCCTGGATCTGGCAAATTCATAGTGCGCTGTGGGACCCAATCAATAGCGAGCAGAGATGTGGTTCTTCACGCAGTGCTGCTCCACGTTCTGTGTCCTCAAGGCTGCCGCTGGTACTGGCTCTCTGTGGCTGTGTAGAAGTCCTCCAGGACACTCTGCAGGTACTCGAAGGTGGGCCTCTCCTCTGGTTTGTTCTTCCAGCACTTGATCATGATGTCGTAGAGCTCCTCGGGACAGCTCTCCGTGCGAGGCATGCGGTACCCCCTCTCCAGGGATCGTATCACCTCGGGGTTCGACATCCCTGCGAGACGGGGTAGAGGGGAGACAAAGGAGACACTGCGTTTGGGCTCGCGAATACTGACAGCTAGACGGAAACACAAAAACAGCAGCATACACGCCTCTCAGACAAGAGAAAATCTCAACCTATCTGAGTAGCCCAGGAGTAAATTGTGGAGTCAAGTGCATTTCATAGGAAATCCGAACGTTTTACATCGTATGTACTTTTCATTAACACACGGACACTTAAAGTGTCACCTTTCAATGACTTCTGCAGTCCTTAAAGAAAAACAAATAAGAGGAAAAAAGTTTCTGTTTTTCTTTTTGCTTCCTGTTAGTTGCCTGGCAACATTTGCCTTTATTGCCACATCAAAACCAACAGCTGACCTCAACAGAAACAGAAATACAGTACCCTGCTTTCTGACCTGTCTGATTTTTATGCCCCAGCCATTTTCTTTAAGTTAACTGTTCTATCAGTTACAGTGCATTCTCTTAAGTGTGCTGAATGCATTCAGCAGCATTCTGCGTCCCTGGCTTGAGGAATGCTTGTAAGTTCCTCTAAGACTAGAGGTTATTATTAAAGTGAATGTGATTGTTTGGCAGTTGCTTTTATCCAGACCACAGCTGGGTAATTACTGACAACATGAGTGAAACACTTGACTCAAGGGTACAACAGCAGTGCACCACCTGGGATTTGAACCTACAACTTTCCAGTTACAAGTCCAGAGCTCTGGCCACTGCTGAATTAAAGTACATTTGGTGTGAAAGCTGACATCAGTAACATTGCGTGTTCTATGCTACAAAATAACATAACATCACTTTATTAGCCCTATACAATTTCTTGCATTAGGAATTCGTCTTTTCGCATACCACAGTTTGCTCTCAATGAGACACACAGACAGGGAGAGAGCCTGGGGTCAGAGCGCAGGGTCAGCCATTGTACAGCACCCCTGGAGCAGTTGGGGTTAAGGGCCTTGCTCAGGCGCCCAATTGAGTAGGATTTCTCTGCCGGCTGCGGGATTTGAACCGGCAACCTTCCAGCCACAGGCGCAGATCCTTAGGTCCCTCCTTAGAACTGTCCCTCCGGACAGTTCAGAACGTCAGTTGCACTGAATACTCACATCACACACTCATACAACCAAGCACCACACCCACCTGGGTAGGGAGTCCTTCCGTAGCTAATGATTTCTGTTAAGAGGATCCCAAAGGACCAGACGTCTGATTTGATTGTGAAGGAACCATAGTTGATGGCTTCAGGAGCTGTCCATTTTATTGGAAACTTTGCACCTAAGCACAGATAAATAAGAGTCCAGTTCATATGTTTTCAATGCCTGTTGAGCTGCACCCTTCAGTTTTTCTCTCAAGTGGCACAGTAGGCTTAGCACCCGGACACAAAAATTGAAAACCACATCATGCTTGTCACTTACAGAGGCAGCTTTGACCACTTTTGTTTCTTGGGCCTGCTGCAATATTACTGTTACTGTTATTACTATCCACGAGCAAGCAAGGAATACATGAAATCTACAATAAATTTAATGAACCGGGACAGCAAATCCCGTAAAAATTTTAAGATAAAACTATAATACAAAGGACCCAATGACAGATTTTACAGGGAATATGAATGCTACAGCAGTTGCCAGTCTAGCTCACCCTCTCTTGCGGTGTACTCGTTGTCTTCAATGATGCGAGCCAGACCAAAGTCAGCTATCTTGCAGACCAGGTTTTTATTCACCAAAATGTTGGCTGCTCTGAGATCTCTGTGGATGTAATTCCTCTGCTCTATGTACGCCATACCCTCTGCAATCTGGAAAACAGCACCAAGAGCATGAGTCACCCATTTGTGGTGTATTTTCGTCCTTTGCACATGAAGCACCTTGCTTCTAGCATGTATTTCCTTTCCTTTCCTGAGATATGCATACCCTCACCACATGTTTACAATGATTTGACTGTACCTTTGACCAACCCAAAAAAAAAATCCAAATCAGACCAACACACCACAAAAAAAACACATAAAAAGAATGCACACAGAAATAAAAAAGCTAATAAAAAACAGAGGAATGTCTTCACAATCCAGGTACTGCTCAGCAAATAGTAAATCCTATGTCAAAAACACTTCCACAGAAATGAATTGGTCCAATTGTAACTTCTGTTGTAGCTCATTCCTGTCATTAACACCGGCAACCAATGAACAATTAATTTAATCAGGTTAATTAAAATATATGCTGGTTGTGGGGAAAAAAGTAGTGCATTATAATGATAGATCATGATATACATCGATATGCACAGTTTGTTCTGGGTACTGTTTATTTTTAATTAAAATTCTTGTTCCTTTTATTTGTCAGCTTCCTCATTGCTTTTTTCAACTCACAATCTGCTTAATTGAGTTCTCACATCAGATATAATTAATCTGAAAGAAATTTCGTTTTAGATCTGGCAGAGAGTCAAAAGCCACATATTTTTCCTTCCCCATCAAGACCACGTTTCGTGAGGAAGGGAGGTTAAAAAGTACAAGTACAGAAGTGGAAAGTACAAAAAAAAAAAAACCAGCTGCCATCTTTCAGCGTTTACACTGTTATCAGTGAGACAACTTCCCCCTTATGCTCTCTGCTCCAGTGCTGCAGAAACTTCACCAGACATTTCTGGTTTCTCATTACCTAGCAATTATTAAGCACAGATAACGGCAGGGGTGGGGTGGGGCTCAGTACAAAGCATACTCTGCCATGAAACCGAACCTGCAGTCCCAGTCTGAAGGCTTAAGTAATCAGTACAGAACCTGATGCAAGCTGTACATTTGCCCATGGTGTGCTTTACGAAGACACCATGTTCTGGACTGGCCTCCTGTGCTCTCCTTTAAAAGAAATCCCCCTAAATACAGACTCCAGATGGAACCACCCAATCCACACTACTTATAAACCATGGCGCCATCTCTTCTAAAATATTCAAGTAGAAATGTACATCAAAAAACGTTCCCTTAACTGCTCAGAGCAGATAGATCTGTGGGAAAGAGTCAATTATACCAACCGATGGATTCATTTCTGGGGACCTCCCAAGCCAGTATGAGGATCCCCTAGCAGTTCCAGACCCCTGGTTATGAACATGACTTAGAAAGTTATCTTTATAACAGACAGAATACATACTGTATACCGTATAAGAACAAGTTCCACACTTTGATAGCTCACAAGCTGATGCAGATGTCCACTCTAACCTATACGTACATATTAGTTCAGGTGGGTACCTGCATCAGCATGCGTGGGCTGCAAAGGAACAAGTAATAGGTTTATTCCCTGCTGAAAAAAAGAAGAAAGAGAACACAACGTTTCGGCCGTGGAGCCTTCTTCAGGTGTGAGAGAGACAGGGCCGTAGGCAAAGGTAAAGTAGCGGGAGAACAAAGGTTGGGAGGGAGGAGGAGTGAGAGGCGGGAGCAGGGGACAGAAAGAGAGGCCAATCAAGAGGTGTGAAGTCAGAATGGGTGCAGAGAGGTGTGAAATGAAACTTCCAATGAATGGAGAACATTTAAAAGAACAGTAGTTCTTTTAAATAATACGTACATATTATAATAAAATGAATACCTATGGCACAGTATAATACTGATTATCACATAACCTTGGAAAAGTACGTTTAAAAACACCCGTAATTTTCCTCTAAAATCCGTCATGATGGATGATGTGATTTTAGACAGGTTTTAAAAAGGCATGCACATTCAGAGGGTGTGGAAACTCCTGCTCTGGGTTGCAAATGATTTGCATCCGAACTAATGCTGTCAGACACCACGCGGCATATTTCACTCGTCAGCACGACTCAGAGCTGACAGGCCCGGCCTCTGGGTTTCTCAGCATCCCCAGCTGGCCCGCTTCGATTTCCTCATTCGGGGGTTGCAAAAAAAATGCGACTTTGGCATTGCTTAAAATCGTCGCAGGCAGTCTGCTGTCACGAGCCTGCATTTAAAATTAAAGTTTCTTAGACGGTGGTTTCTCTAGCCGAAAGCAACCAAGAAAGTAATGCGTATACGCAAATACACGTATCTGAAACCACCTATCTCTTGCCATCTTTGAACGTATTTTTACACTGAATGTATTTTTACACTGAGTGTATGCACACTCGATTTGACTTCTCAATCAAAAATAATTCACCTTTTTAGCGTGATTCTCAGTGTCAGAAGTGCACACCTTTGACAGCACATTCCAGCTTGGCTTTGCCTTGCTATTCCACTCATCTTGCCACTGTAATCTAGTGCAAACTCAATGGACCTACCAACTGCTTCTTTTTGTACAGTGAATCCAGAACGTTACCAGTACAGTACAGCTCCACCCCTTGTGCAGTGGGACACCAGCCACATGTGTCCCAGCTGAGAGTAGAGCCAAACCCCACCCATTCTCCTTCTCTTGTTCTTCCTCTGCCATCAGCTATCACACGTTGCAAAGCCTAGGTCTGAACCCATGATTCTCCAGCCATAGTGTATATCTTCATTTCTGGGCACAAAACAATACCTTCAGCATTAACCATACAAACGGACTACGGAGTCATTTCTACTCTAAGGTATCATTTCTGTGGAGAAATAACCTGGTGCAAAAGGAATCAGCACAGATAAGCATCTTGTAGGTTGATTACTTTTTAACATTTGCAGTTATCTGTAACATACAGTACAACACTGTATTCAGCCTACAGCGGTTTTACAATTGTAATTAAATGTAAATGTATTACAAGCAAGCATGAAGCACATTTTTGTCATTAGTTACACATTACTTCCCCTTCCTAAAATGATAAATCATTCAAAAAAGTAACATGTTTTTTTAATTTATTATGACTCTCACTATTATCTAGTGCTATTGTACTTACAATTGTGAAACAAGAAGATGATCACTTTATTGGCCATATACAATTTCTTGTATTAGGAATTTGTCTTTTCGCATACCCCAACTTGCTCTCAATGAGACCCATAGACAGGGACAGAAGCTTGGGGTCAGAGCACAGGGTCAGCCATTTATACGGCGCCCCTGGAGCAGTGGGGTTAAGGGTCTTGTTTAGGGGTCCAACGGAGTAGGATTCCTCTGCCAGCTGCAGGATACTAACCAGCAACCTTCCAGCCACAGGCCCAGATCCTGAGCCACAGAGCCACCGCTCCGCCAAACAATTGATCCAACATATAATATAAAATAAACACAAAACTTTCTTTACAGGTGCACAGCTCCACTCCTCAGTACTGTTTTTTTTTAGTTCTTGTTAAAACAATAAAAGCTGGAGGCTTTTAAAAAGTGCTAATAATTACTTCAATAAAGTAATTATGAGCTGGTATGCGACTCCAGACCACAGACAGACCCAGTAATTGTTCTCTGTATTTCTGTTTTACTGCTGTCCCATACTTGGAAACACACAAACAACCTTCAAATTTACATATTTGAAATTTAACATGCATCCAGTTCTGTAATGCTTTGAGTACCTGATCTTCTGTCACCAACTGGTTTTTCTATCAAACTAGCAGAAACAGAGCTTTCACCATATAGATGGTGAATCTTGAAAACACATGGGTCTAGTCTCTCATCTTTTATTTGCTGTTTAGCTCTTGTTGTTTCTGGTGTTTTGTTATTTTGCCGTTTTGTATTGCGGAGAACAACGTCCTTACTTTACATCAAATCTTGCACCAGCACACAAATCTGCTACTAGAGCACAATTCACATTTTTCATATTGAAATAGACTACCCAGATTTGGCCATTGGGCTTCAAAGCAGAGTAAACCAGTTTTAAAACTATGTGAAGTTTTAAAAGAAAATAGAAGAATATAACAGATGCTTGGGATGAACCTAATCCCTCTTACTCCCACTCTTCTACGTACAGTATATGCTATCTGGCCTACTGGACATCCCTCTGCACATTTCTCTGGCACCCCACCCACAACCCCTACTTCACCCCTGGAGCAGCTCCCTGGCTCATTCCTTCTGAAACTGAGAGAGGGAGGTTCACTCAGCCTCATTCTTACTGTCAAGATGCACTTCTTTCAGCCAAGCGAGTTACTGCCAACAACCTCTAGTAAACTCATCCCTCTTTCGCATTCACTAGGATATAATACAACTACTAAACTATTCCGGAGCCAAAAAAAATGAAACGCGTACTTTTTCAAGCAACCAGCAAAACCACTTTCACAAGAACAGGAAGTGCCAAGAGATGCCCTTAAATTAGAAACGGGAAATCCCACTCGCTGGAAAATGGCTGAGCACAGCTGCTGGGGTTTAGCGATTCCCAGTGTCACTCTGCAGACAGCTCAGGGATCGCAAATGATGAAAGTTCCCCTTTTTTGAGCTTCCTCTTCTCCTTTCTCAGCACAGATCAACATCATGCAAGAGATCAATTCGGAGTATTTTTAGAGCCGCCCCCCGACTTTATTTCTGCCTTCCTGGCTTGCCTTTTGCATTATTACCCCTGTCTGCATCGTGTAATCTGTGGCGAGAAGCACGTGCTTCCATCCTTGTTCTCCTTTTTCAACGACATTTGACCCGTCTCAGATGCCAGTTCCCAGTATTCACAGACAAAGCCCACAAACCGCAGCTTCTCAGTGTCCAAGGATTTTGGGATCTTTGTGTAAGAGGAAATGGCGAGACAGGGCACACCACTAAATTTGACAAATCATCCAACAAAGCTGTCCAAAGAGGTGAATGCACCCTTTTGTAACAAAGCCTATGCATGGGATCTGGTGTTTGTAAAACTCATATACAAATGAGTATTTGAAAAAAATGCAGATTTGTACATCACAGCGGACAAAATAAACATACCTTAGATTGCAATGCAAAACACACACACCAGTATAGTCAAATGCTGTAGATGGTTCTGTGGGTGATTATAAAACAAATGCCAAAACTGTAGGATGTTGTTATTAATTCAAAGGTCTGGATAAACAGAATGTTAACCCATTCGTAGCCTAGATTTAACTCATTGCGTCTCATTAGAAAAAAAAGAAAAATACTTTCTGCCCCCCGGTCAGACTTTCATGCTACATCGGCCAGTTACCATTGCAAAACAAGCACGTGCACCACAATTCACCCTGGGTTCATTCAGGGGGCCAGGGGGTGAATGAAGAAGCAGCATGGGGCATGGCTATTCAGATGCAATACAACTGGGCTGTTATAAAAGTAAGGAGATTTGAATATTAAAATGTAACCGCACATAGAGGAAACACTTGCTTATTCTTTACAAATAATACTGTTGACATTGTCTAGCATGGTGTACCATTCATGTTTGGCTTGATCAAAGTGTAGAGCTCTAAACCAGTATTTAGCTCATACTCTCCAGAAGAGCAGAGAATTCAATACACTTGTGAACAATTCAGATCTTTAGCAAAAAAAAAAAAGTGCACCTAAAATAAATGCATGAAAGGAAAAAAGGGCCTAGCTTTGGCACTAGGGTCAACGGCTTTGATTCTGGTCCACCATGCTCCCTTCCAGGAACACACTGAAGAAGAGGAAGCGCTCACCTGTGCCGTGAAGTCAATGAGCTTCGGAAGCTGCAACCTGTTGCCTTCGTCACTTTTCAGGAAGTCTAGTAGGCTGCCTACAGAGTCAGGAAACACACACAGTCAGCAGGCCGAGAACAGCCTTTGAAAGCCATCAGAAAGAAAGGAATTCAAGAACTCCAGGACAACCACTAATGTGGAGAATGCCAAGAATGCCATCATGGTGACATCTCTGCTTTCACGCATTCTTATCTGTAATTTGCTGGTTTGTTGTCATGGTGCTTCACTGCCTCTCTTCATTTTCTAAGCTGCAACCACAAACGCACAAAAAAAAAACCCTCATAAACATCAGACTGCTGACAAGGCCAGGAAGACTGTGGTCATTAGGCATCTGAGACTGTCCACAACATATTTACAGGCCTCACAAAATAGCTGCAGACCCATTAAGACACTTGTCAGATTTGAGCTGAAGTATTTTTAGGGGTTGAAAAATCATCTTTCTTGCAGAAAACAGTCTTTTATGGAGAAGGTAATTATGCTACATAGAGTACTCTATCCACAAGTGTTATGCAATTTATTAATGTAGCTTTTGCTCAAAGGTAGTTAGAAGTTTAGATCAAGGAGCAGAAGCAGGAGCAGAAGTTTGACCATGTACATCTCTTATTTCTCTTATGAGTGACATTTTTTGTAATTGCAAACCACAAACTGATCAAGTCAGTAGCCTGAATGGCACCGCTACAATGCAGTTATCACTGCAAAATGTAGTGATTTGTCAGGCCTTGATTAGGCTTCAGAGCTGCTATCTTTGCACTGTGATAGAGAGCCTCTACCACACTTCCCACATTACAAAATGCCCCCATTGTGCACACAGGTTCTGCAAGCAAGAATAGGGTTGAATGGGAGAACAGTTAAGGAAGACTACGGATCAACAGATTCTTTAGAAAATAAAATGCTATTGAATACACAATACTGGATGTATCTTACAAGCAGGTAAACTAAAGCTGAGTGAATATGCTGCAGTAAACTTCTGGTGTTTTTTTTTTTAATAGCTGAATTCACTTCAAGTGTGCAACAAAACACACCCTCCTCAGGGCATTTTATTTACATACAGTACTGCAAGCCATAGATAATGAATAAATAAAAGATACCAGCCACATATGGTGGCACCACTACCAAACAACACCGGGGATCAGTACAGTATTTTATAATAATCTCAAAAGAAACTAAAAATAGCCGTCACAAGGCACTATAATACGAAAAACACTTTCCAGTGCTCAATAGCAAATCTGTGATTGCTGCACAGTGAGCAAGATTTCCTATGATCTGGCCAGCTGCCATATGGGGTGTCTGGTGTTGAGCAGAACAGTTGCCTACCTTTCTCCATGAACTCTGTAATGATGTAGATGGGCTCCTCCTTGGTGACCACAGCGTTCAGCCTCACCAGTTTGTCATGTTGCAGTGTCTTCATGAGGTTGGCTTCAGCCAGGAAGGCTTCCACAGACATGCTGCCAGGCTTCATGGTCTTTACAGCCACCTTGGTGTGCTTGTTGTAGGTGGCTGGAAGCACAGAGAATCAGTAAGGGCTTCACAATCTTCACAGAGAGCTCCAGAGGAATACACACAATAGGTGTTTTACGTGCAGGCGCAGTAAACTATTGGGTACAGAAGAGAGGAACACAGAAACTTTGCCAGGGAAAAAGCAAACTGCTGGGGGTCTGAGGCCCAGTGGTTTCCTCTCTGCCAGGCATTGGCATCACCTACGTGAAAGAGATGTGCGACTTACCCATCCACACCTCCCCAAACTGACCAGCTCCCAGCTTCTTATCCAGCTTCAGCGACTCCCGGGGGATCTCCCAGGCATCCTTCTCCCAAGGTTTCTGTGGTTTGGGGTTGATGCAGGGCTCCGTCAGGGACTGACACAGACCGTCTCCTTGCTCTGTCAAGACACTTCATATCAGCCAAAACCTAAAGACCCACAGACATGATAAAGATCTGCTTGCTTTAAGTAGCGGTGATGGTGATGATTTCCTGGAGCATGAGGGGACGTACAGTATACGAAACTAAGGCAGATGTGACACTATCCTGTACAAACCCATGAGCGCCATTTTGGGACTGTAATATAACAGGTGTCAAACATTTCAATACCAGCAAGAAAGGGACTTTTGCTCCTGGATATTATTAGCTTACTTCTCCTGCAGCCTGTACAGAACTTGGGCAATGATCTACAAGAAACAGAATACATCGATTTGGGTTTGCAGTTCTCCATTTTATGTTTGAGGTAGTCTCTTTACTGCAAACCAACTTGGAAATGCCACAAGGGAATAAATGCCACTTTTTTTACTTTTTTTACAGAAATAAATTTACCAGGGTGAAGCTGCCCTCTTCCAAACGGTTCAGAGCTAGTATGCAAAAGGATAATTGTGTGCTGCTGTTGGATGTTCACATAGCAAGAAATGCTGATTAATCGGAGTGCAGAACTCAAACATTCTAATTTACAACACACATTCTTTTACTACAAAATCACCAACACTTTCTTTTTAATTTCTGTGCATATGGCAGCTTACTGTTTGCTTCTGTAATGTCAACGTGCTTTGAAAGTTAATTTACTCTGACAATTAATGGACCAGTGACAGGAGTTTCTTTAAAATGCAGAAGTACACGTGAAGGAAGGACTATGGTCTTAAAGCTGTGATCCTGGACTGATCTTTGTGGTTAATATGCAACCAGGGTGGACAATACAGTCCAGGTTATAGTTACACAGTAGATTTCATGATCACAGTAGATTTCATGATTGGTTCAGTTAAACAGACAGAGGTGGGAGACAAGACAGTTCTCTAAAACGTTTTTGACTAATGTTATTTACCCTTTTTTAAATGCTTTTCTGAAGGGTCTGGATGATCAGAATTTCCATTGCACTTTCTAAAATCCACTGTGGGAAGGTTTAGTTTCGCTCTAGAGACATGTCAGTTTCAATCAGAAACCGTTAAACTTTTAAGACGCTTAAATAATCTTTTTAAAGATCAAGTTAACTTCCTCTCTGGCTCCACCCTCATCCTACACTTCATAATTTTCAGCTGTTGATAAAGTGGCTGATTTTTAAAAACAGTCTAAATGTGGAACATTTGTAACAGACCATCCGCTGAATATAGATAACCTTCACTTCTGTTAAGATAAGAACTTGGACAGAGACACCAATGTTATCACAGCAGATGTTCGAAGTCAGACAGTACTCACTCTTGTAGTGGTTGACGAGGTCTTGTAAGGTGCTGAAAGTGATTCTTGGGGAGATGTAAAATCCTCCATTATCTAGTGTCCGGATCTTATAATGTTTCACGGTGTCCCCGGACTGCGAATCGTAGTCTCTGACCGACAGAGAATAGCTACCTGTAGGTAAAGCAACACAGCATGTAAGAAAGGACCAGACCCATAAAAGAAGAAATTTCTGAAAATTGCTTGGTACTTCAAAAGTATTTTCTAAGAAAAAAAAATGGATAGTTAATAATGAATCGTAGTAAAACGGCAGTGTTGTATATTCAGCATGACAACCATTAACCTTCTTTGAATCCATGTTCCTCCCAGGGATAGGCTAGCAGATGCAAATCTCACCATGTAACAGTCCCCAGATCTTATTTCCATTGTAAACACAGTTAGTTCACAGGCATGCTGGTGGCATGACAATAGGACTTGCCTTTTGTTGTTTCGCTGTCTCGTATCATAAAGGAACCAGTTCGATTCCCCGACGCAAGAAGAGTTCTTTCTGCATCTTTGCGGCTGACGCCTTTGAAGAACCATCTAAGGAACAAGAATAACCCTTGTGGTTTACAACACTACACAACGTACCTTATTATTTAAATACATACAACACCCCTGGTACTGAGCCCTTGGTCCATTACTGTTTTTCACTCAAGCTGAGCTCTCCGTTACACAATTGAAGACTTAACTGACCCGATGGTTGGATTAAAATTAAGACTCTTCAGTTGTTTACAGTTCCTAATCATTGGAGGTTGTCTTAAAAGTAATTTATGCTCTTCAACTTTTTTTTTGGTCCACTTAGATTTCCAAAGGTTCCAATCGAGCAATTTGTTTGTTCCACTAAAGAACATAAGGAGTTTGGCTGAACTGAAACCCAGCACATGTGGGTGTCCCACAGGACCAGGGTGAGGAACCTCTCTCATGGACAATGCATAAAACCACAGAATGTTCCAGCAAGTCCATCTGCAGACAATTTGGATGCGTGTCAATTCCCGACGCGTCACTAAAAACATAAAATGGATTAAAGTTCACACTCCTTGACAGTACCATTCTTAGTAGGATCCACGCACTCAATACGAATTCCTAAGGTGAGAATCTTGCCAGCATCTAAATCTAGTATCCAGCTCCATCAATTTTTTTTAGGTAACAGAACAAAGCACCAACAAAAACAATCAACATAGTATCGCAAAAATATCCCAGATAAGCAGTTTTCGTTTTCTTTCTCACAAGAGTCTTTCAAAGCCATCACTCCTGACAGAATTAGAAATAGCAGTAATGGCTTTGTTAGGCACTTAAAAACCTACAAGTTATTCGGGGCTGTTCAGAAGTGTTGTTTTTGGTTCAGATGTTTGATTCACGTTAATGGCATAAGACCACTCGGGCAACAAGGAAAAAAAACACATTGCATCTAAGAACTAAATCTGAAAATGTATTGATTGCAATAATGTTCTCTAAATCAGCTGCCCCTGCTAACTCTTGCGTATCACAGAAATGTCTTGTGCTCGGGGCTGTCCCTGACAGGTACCAGCATGGCGATGCAGTACTTACTCCTCTGTCTCCAACGAGTTGACTTTGGCGACATAATTACTGGGAATGAAGCCTTCCTTTCCTGTGCTGAGCGACCTGGCACACCACCACTCACCTGACCTGGAATACATCACAGACAGGCAGGCTAGTGGGACAGGGGATAAGCAACTACCACTCAGCCAGTCTTCCAACAGAGAAAGCACACAGTTTGATCACCTTAATCCCTGGAATATTGAATGGTATCTTGGGTTACATTCCTGGTTCTTGCAATGGCCAGACTGTTTAAAAAGACTAAAAACTCTCCAAAGACTAAAGACTTAAAAGAGCGGGCACTTTACCCTTTTCATTGTTCATGTCTGGAAGTTCTTTTAGGACAGATTGTTAAGATGTCCACCCTTGATTCAACTTAAAATAATCAAATGATGTTACAACGCAGCATACAGAAAATAAAAATGACATTGAGAGGTCATTGTTATATGATTATCAATCCTGATCCTGCTGTATTTTGTCACATTTTCCCCTTTCTACATCCACACCCCTGGTGGCTGGGAGCTCCATGACCTTGCTTTACAACAGAGCATCAAAGAGCGCCAAGCGCCTTAACATCACCCTTACGCAATTGTCAGAAAAAAACAGCAGTGTGGGTGAAAAGAGGAAGTCAGGACCTAATTATTACTCTCCAGGAGCCATGTTTGGTACAGTTTCAGACGCACTGAGTTTTGTTCTGAGCTCCGTTAACCCTTTAATTTGATACAGTAAGAGGGTGGTACAATTCACATTCTAAAGAGGAATTAAAATTCTCCAAAATAAATAAAGGAAAACTTGAAACATATTAGGTAAAAGGATTCTCTAAAAGCTGAAGGCAAAGATTTTACCAATCAAATATCCGCACAAAACCACACCAAAAAGTTGAGTGTTAGAAAACCCATAAATGTCCTATTTTTTCACAGAGTTTTGCTACTAGATTATCTACTCACTCCCTAAATCTAGACTCGATCTTCCGTGACTTCTACCTAGCTCCTGCTCGAAACCTACCTGTTTGGAGACCAATCTTGCTCTGCTTCATTCCTACAAGTGGTGGTGCTGCTCCTGCTCTGTGCTGTGATCAGGTCTCACTGCACATCGATTGCAATTAATGTGACGGATGCCCCATTGATTGCATTTTCTGCGCTGTTAATTTGCATTATGTGAATGACTGCGCTTTTCACAGCTTCCATGAATTTGAATTGTTTTTCCATAATGCAGTACCCTTGAATGAGTTGCCTCAGACCATACTAGCAGCTAAATAAATTCTAACAACAATAATCCTACTCATATATTCAGTAATGATAATATTAGAAGTGAAAGGGTTGAAAATAAAAATCAAAAGATGTACCCACTCCAGGGTACCCAGGAATATAAAAAGAGACAGACTGGTGTTTGGACACACTCACTCTTGTAACACCTTTAGCTTCTCTCCCTTCTTGAATCCAAGATCGCCATCGTGGATTGCTTCATAGTCGTACAGCGTAATGACGATCGATTCTCCACCTGAAGCACAGGACATATTCAGATCGATTTGTTCGAATGGACATATTCGAATCGACAGTTGGATTCCAACTGAAATAAACGGGCAGTCAGGTAAGGCTCTAGACAAGAAAGCACCATGACACAGTACTCTGACCATCGTATAGCAAGTTCCACAACCCCGTTAGGTTTCAGTGACAACAACCTTTTAGCAGACTGGAAATGAAACTAGTTACTTGTTGCTTCAGTGTTAAAAAGAGAGAAGAAAATATACAGACACCGTGTTCTGGTTTCAGTTTTACAGGAGAAAAGTATTTTGACACCAAAACCTCCTAGAAACTGATGACATTGGCCATCCTGTAGGTCAGCAACAAGCTACTGAATATTTGCACATGGGATTCAGAGTGATAAACTCCATATGCGAAGGAACCATTGTACACTATTGACACTGAACAGCCGAGATACAGCACAGCTATAGTACAAACAAATAACCCAGCAGCAGACATGTAAACCACTCTCTGGAGGTTTCCAGCTTTTCACTTTTAAAAACATTTGTGAAAACACTGATGACAGACATTACTTCACCCCATCGCTTCTCTCCAATCTTGCTTTAATCCAATATTTAAACTAAAGCCGTCTCCCTCACCATGCTGATTCAAAGACACTTCGCAAACAGCAGCTTGGCGAGTATCATTAATTTGTTATTAGTCAAAGGCCTGCCCTGTCAAAACTGTGGTCAGCTGCTCTAGAGCAGCTTGCAACACCAAGCATTAGCCAAATGAACAGCTCTGGCTGTGGTAGCTTTTATAAAAAAGTGTTAAACTGAGAATATAATCTTCCATATTTTTGGACTGAAAGGTTGTTAGAAACTCTCACAGGGTGTGGCCTGGCCCTCTTATATCTCAGTCATGTAGTCTTCCATCTAGTGGGCTCGCATGGAAGACAAGGAAAATGTAAAAAAAAAAAAACTGAATAAAGAAAAGTCTCAGTAAATTCTCGGCAAATCAATACATAAATAAACGGTACAGAAGATAGGACAGCCAAGCCCCTGCAGAACCACGACTGGCAGATTCTAGAACCTGACCTTAACCAAACAAGACTTTTCTTCATTTAAGAGGAGTGATCGGCTTTAGTGTGTGGTGTTGCTCTTTTCAGTTCCAGTCTTAATTTACTTAATTGATCATAGTACTTGCTTAAGCGATTCAAAAGAAACACCCACTGCTGTGTAATACCACAAAGACATTGCTTATACAGTATGTGTAGTTGGAAATTGTCATTTGTTCTAAAGTAAGAGGATGGATATAATGCAGACGTAGGGTCTCCTTGGCTTCACTGTTTCCCAAGCCACACTAGCCCCCAGAACACTATCAGGACTTGTGTTTTGATGGGTTTATCGCCACTATACCTGCCCTCATCCATCGAAGGACAGAAAGCGGATTCTGAGCTTGCTCGTCGTTCATACCCTACACAAGCACCTCTGAGAGTTTACGACGTGAAACAGCGCTGTGAATCACCAGGGTGCCCGTTTGGCATGGGTTGACGTGAGTATTTTTAAACCCAACCTGTGCTGGGCTCAGCACCCACAACACTGAGTTTTTCCTTTCTTTTTACGGTGCAGTCTGAATTTAACCCCACTTGATGTGGTTTACCTGTCTGCTGCTGAGTTCTTTGTTTGTACTACAGCTGTGCTGTATCTCGGCTGTTCAGTATCAGTAGTGTACAATGGTTCCTTCCCGTCTGGAGTTTATCACTCTGAATCCCGTGTGCAAATATTCAGTAGCTGATTGCTGACGTACAGGTAGGCCAAGGGCATCAGTTTTTAAGAGAATTAAGTCTCAGAATATTTTTCTCCTGTAAAATTGAAACCAAAACACTGTAAACATGTGCTAATTTCATTCCTATCCCAATAGGGAAAACAACTTCCGATGATCACCTGGACATGCACAATTTTCAGGACCCGAGTTATTTTAGATGATGGACTTGGATGGGCACAAAAGCAAATCCAGTACTGCACAAACAATAAAGGATCGATAGAGGAAAGCCCATTGCATTACAAGCTGTAAGCTTCTGCTGTAAGGGGGTGCTTCCTCTTTTACGGTTCATTCCTTGGTAAACGAATCTTTTATATTAGCTGGGCAACCTGTTCGGCAAGTTCCTGCAAACAGGTACAGAATTTCAGGTTCAATTGTTATCAGTCCTATAGAGTTCATGATCAGCTCGTGCATTTATTTGTGCATAGGAACAGGAGGTAAAAAAGTAGCTCTCTAGCTACTGTATGTGGGTATTGAAATAAATTAAAAATCCATAAGGTCAATCTCCTGAAGGCTGAATTATTCCTTTTTTTAATGGTATATGGTCATTTAATTGATTTCTCAATTGAGCACCAAACTAAAATTTTCAAGGTGGCTGTTGCATAGTGAACTCATTACTCATATTGATCATTTACGGTATTTAAATAGATTGTATCGGCATCTCCTTCCTTTCCGCATGCAGCATGTCTGTTCTTGGCACTAGTTAACATGCAAATACTTTTACTAAAATTATTGGTAAATCATGTAAAATGTAAAAGGTTTTACAGTGTTACATACAGTAAGAAGCACATTGAGGCATTAAGGATTGGTAGGAAATACAAGACGTCTCCGTACACAGCGTTTACGCTGTTGAACCCATTCAATCAAGGCTAATATTAATAAAACACAATCGGTCGTTAACTGAGGTTAAAAAAACATAGCAATTCCCATTTTGAAAAGTGTTCTGCTGGTCTGCAGTTCAGTATCTCTTACCATCTGTGTGTCCTGGCGATGGTGGCAAAGCGGAAGAGCTGTTTTGGGTCTATGAGAAAAGAAGGACAAAGGACAAGCAGTTTTTAAGAATCTGCACATTTCTTTCCAGCAGCTTCCACATTCCTTACATCTGATCTTCCGCAAGTGGCCATTTCCTCCTCGTTTTTCTTTTGGTTCACAGAAAGAGAAAGCATCGGTAATTTGCCTTTAGCGCAGATTCAACTGGAGTGCCTTCTAAAACGGACAAGAGCCCCAATTCACTCAACACATTCAGCCCTTTACAGATTTTAAAATCTGCTGTGAGACAGCAGACCGACGGGAGGAAAACATCTACAGACACATGTGGCTCCACTGACAATACTGGGTGGTTCAGATTTCACCCAGGCAGAGGGTACAGGAAGTGAAATCATGAAGATTCTAAACCCACATTAAGACTGCTCCAATTTGTACCATGGAATTTGTATTTCAGCTGTGTGTGGTAAAAAGACAGCAACATTTGTGTATTTTAGTAACGCGTTTAGGCATGAATTTCAGTGCACTGCATGATTAAGGGTGGCATCTCACCGAAAATGTAAGTGCTTTAAGACTCTCTCACTTCCTTGTTCTCTCCGATTGCAAGACCTTCTCGGAAATAAAACGAAGAAATGTCTGCAGGATCAGCTGTTGCGCCACAGCAAGGGCAATCCTACTTATAGCATAATAAACGAGAGGGAACTAATTTTAACCCATTCAACATGTGAAGCTCAAGCTAAAGGATGCTGGGAAATTCATTGTGCCATTTACCAATCGGCAGAACAATCTTTCCATTGTCTTCTACTTCCTATTTAGCCGTCTTTTAAAGCAGTCATCTGTTATCTGTACAAAATCACCAAACAGCATGACAGGCCCTGACGCAGAGAAAAAAAGCTCTTTTTGTTGGATTGATTTGGCTTTCTATTGTGTATAAAATTGTGTTGTGATTAAATACCTTAATGCATTAAAGGGTGCTTTGCTTTTCCCAATATTTAGGGGTATTTTTATGGCTAAAGTTGGAACAGCTGCCCATGGTTCAGACTGCTCTGTTTTTACATTGTCATCGCTGTTAACACTAACATTACTTTTTTTAAGCTTTGCAGAAAGTTCAGATGCAGAATTGTGTGCCCACAAGGAACAGCTCTGAGTGCATCTTAAGTTTTTCAGCTCTTTCTGTTTGGTAATTAGAGAAACTTATTTACCATATGGTAAGTGCCAAAGACAGACTGAAACAGAAAAAACGAGAGCATAAAGCCCCCACATTCCCCACCCACTCCCTTCATTTCCACCCAAACCTCTTTATCACACAAGTGGTCTCTACCCACTGACCCCCCACCCCTCGCCATCATCACAATCATTTCCCCAGCCCACCCTCGACCAGTAGTATCTGTACACAGACTCCTACTTACTGTCTTACTACCAGATGTGGGATCTTTCACATAATGAGCTTGTTGGATTTTACGTACTGAGTCATTATTCACGATCTTGTCATTGCTGGCCTGCTGCTCCTCCTTCGACTTTATACACCCCATTGTCCTGCCTGAAATCCAAGCAAAAAACACAGGGCGGGAAAGATGAGCGAGAATCCCACAGAGATGGCGATTGAGGAGCGGGACATTGCTTTGCTTTATGCTCACTGATTCTCAGTTTCACGCGATCAGTGTGTTTGACAAGCTGACCAGGAGTCCTGAATGATTGAGCAGCAAAGTCTGCCCACTTCCTGCCCATGGAGAAAAGATGATGCAGCAGGATGTTGTGAAAGGGGAAGGCATTGCAGGGCAAAACTCCTTCAAGTTGAAACTATTTAAATAAGGCACTGACTCAAGGGCAGGGCTTCAACCAGCTGGCCAAAAAGGGAAAGAGACACATGCAACTTGCCCAGGACTTTCATTGCCCTTTCGAAAGAGAACTGAACATAGAATTATGGTAATTCTCACCCAAGAAAGGACCGAGTGTAGTGCACTGTGCAAAGTGCAAAAAATTGTGCGAAATGTAACACTTTCAACATTCGGCGGGTGGCAAGTGACAGTGACAAATGCAGTAGAAAAACTGGTCTGGCTATTTTTAAAAGGCTTTACTTGAGAACCACTGCTTTGACAGTGTTGAGTCACGGCCATATCTGTAACGTTAAGACGAGTCAAGATGAATGCCAAGCTGTGACAGCAGCTAAACTTCCCTGTCACACAAAAACAAACATAAAATCAGTTATTACCATGGGATTTTTTTCTCAATATTGATAACATCCCTTTCAATTACTCTCCCTGCTCTGTGTGCTGAACTTGTGTCCCTTACGCGTGGCATGGTTTAGCTTCAATGTTTGCTCTGCTTCTTAATGTATAATTCCTATTGCTCATGGACTGTGCCAGTTACGGTCATGTTCATGGGACTACCTGTTAGCAGTGGTCTCTGTAAAATATGAGGAACTACCTGCAGTGAATGGCCATTGTCTTTTGCGGGAAGTTATTCAGATATTCTCACTGAGATGTAATCAGCATTTTCCAAGAACCTGTTGTTTTTTAGTTTCTAAGGACCTCATTGTTGGAAACAGCTTTGAATCATAATGCTAAATGCCTATATTGTTGGTAATCTGTCAGCCAAAAATACTTGTACAAAGGCTCAGCATCTTTTGATCAACCCTGGTGATGAAAGTTTGTACTGTAGGGCGTAAAACCACTTTTACTACCTAGTTACATGAATTCCATACACACGTTTTAGAAGAGAACAATCAATTCAGACCTTCACTTTTGTAGCCGAGTCCTCAGGAAGTGGTAGCAGGATAATTTGACCTGCCCATGTTTACTGTGCTCTACTGTGGTAAGAGCATAGTAAAGTGTGGTAACACACTGTAAAACTACAGCATATAGTAAACATGCAAGTACAGCTTCCCTTTACATCCCCCTACACAGTTTTAGAAACACAAGCAGCACAACTACAGCACGATTTCTTCAACACGTGCTCCCATGTTGCTCACAACAGCATCGGCACCAACTGGAGGAGCGAAGCAGCTCTCGCTGATGTTGTCATAAGCCCGCAGGTGCCAGTCAAAATTAGTGTCAGGACGTGGATACCCTGTCTGACACCAGACCACTCAAACCACAATGACACCTGGGGAATCCTAGTTCTAATTTGCTGACCACTGATGTCTGGATTACAAAAAATTAACCTGAGCTCAGAGTGAGTCCCTCTACTGGTTGAGCCACTAAGGAGGAGACAATTGTAAAAGTATAACAATTACAATTACAAACGGGAAGAGTTCTATCAGCACATTTAACATGTTTGGTGGTTAGTATAACATGCAGTATCCATACAGGCTACCTAGATACAATTACCCATGGATTGATTGAGCCTCGTGGATTGATTGTATTCATTCAGCGACAGCCAACACAGACCGGATTTACACCCTTCACACATGTGATTATGACACTTCCTCCTAGTTCCTTTAACCCACTGAAGAGTGAAATAAAACCGGTAAGTCTGTATACATGATTGCCTCCAGGTCTGTGACCCATGTCGTTCCATATACCAAAATGCAGGCGTAGTAATTAGCAATGGTGACAACAGAGACTGAAAAAGCAATTTTCGGAATAAAGTGACTTGTAAGAGAGACTGCGGTGTTCTTTATGTAAATGAACATTAAAAAGAAACCTTCAGCAAACGCCTTGAAATGAATCAGATTCTAGTTCAAGTTTCCTCACCGACACTGAAAACAAGAAAACCAAGCAACTTACCCCTGTAATATTTCAGTCAATTAACATGCAGAAGATTGCCCCCCCAAAAAAAATCAGTCATGAATTTAATCCACAGATGTAAAGTAAACCAAGTGAGTCATGTAAAATTTGGACATCAGCAGAAATTCTGAATGTAGTCATTGAGCATTCCCAACTACCTTCATGAAATCACCAATTACCAATTAATAATTATTTGTTTATAAATAAGAAGATTATGGTAGGGGATACACCTACAGTTGCATCGCCCTTACGGTATTATTTATAGTATTTGTTCTGTTTTGCTGCGCAGTCAGTCATAGGGAGGGTAAACAGCACGTTAGAGAGACAAGAGGGACAAAGATTAATCTTTGATATCTTTCACCACATGAGCAACAAAATGACAGCTGAAGCCAATCAAGTGTACAAATAACACAGGTATCTGTCAGTAGCGTTCTTCCTCCACTTATAGGGGGCAGTACAGAAGGCTAGGAGCATTATGGAGTATCTGGCACAGCCCCTTCCCTGTGAATTTACACTCCTTCCTTCTGGAAAATGCCTTTGTGTCCCCATGAGTAATGATAATAGGCTCTGGAAATATTTAATCCCATCTGCAATCTCACTTTCAAATAATGAGAAGTAACTCTGATCTCCTGAAACACTCCTCTACTGTATTCTTTGTTGGTGATGCTTGTTTTCATTTGTTGTGTTGGACTCTTGTGCTTTGCTATAAAACAAATTCCCCCCAGGGTATAGTACAGCTTAAACTGAACTGGAACTGACTGCTGGCATGATGCAATTGGTTGTATCCCAACAAACATTTGACAACAATCGCCAAATGTTGGACAAGCTGCGTGGCACTCATGACTCTCTATCAGCAACTCATCTGAAACTCAGCCTGGTTGAGTCAGAGCTGAGGCAAACCCACTTTCCCTTATCTAGTCTCTTACGTGTGCTGCCACACAGATTTGTACTTGCACGACACTGCCTACGGTGAGAGCAGCCATGCGGTGTTAGTTGTGATGACCATGTGTGGCACCTGGTTACGGAATGGTGGCTGTGCAGTGGCTGCAGAGCTCGAATTCACACCGAAAATGCTCAATTCATCTTTTGCCTGGACTGCCATCACAGAGGAGGGCTGGGAGGACTTAGGAAAAGCCCAAGTCATTGGTTCACCCTGTTTAAGCAGGGAGTCAACACTTAAGAAGAGATGGTGTGCTGGGTTTACCACCACAGCACACCTTCGAGAAAGGCAATTGTCAAACCTTTTCACAATGCCCCAGTTCAAACCTGAAGTTAAAGTCCACTTGCAGCCACACTGAACGGATTACTTTCCCAGAGCCAAAAGATCAATTTAAAAAGCCGAGGATGAGCTCTGATTGCAGAGGTCTTGGGACCATGGCTTTCCTTCTGTAGCACTGCTGCAATCGTCCCTCTGACCTGCACCCTCCACAGTCCACAGGGGCAGGAGGCTACAAGCTAGATTAGAACAACCAGAAAGCAGTGCTGTAAATGTAACAGAAGCTCGGCTACGCCTCTGAAACCAAAGATTTTCATCTTACCAGAGACTAAATGATGAACAAAGATTTTGAAAGGTTTCTAAAAAATTTTTTTACAAGACAGTTGTCTATCAGGTCCAATTTAACCGGGTTAAATGGCAGCAAGATAAAAGAAAATATATTTTTGTCCAACAGTGAACTGTAAACTGTAAAATATTGTAATATTTGGACTGTATCAATGACAAAATAAAAGTTTAATATGTCTGTAACTTAGATAACTTTTTATGCATTTATTTTCTCTGTTTTAGATCTATGGAAATCAGCATCCAATCTAGAGGAAAACAACAGATGATACAAAATATAAAAAATAAAAGCAGAATATTATTACAGCAATGACCTTCTCACCTTAGACATTACTCCAGCCTCTGAAATCATTCAGCTACTATTTCCTTTTGATAAACAATCTGATCTGTTCCATAATTTAGCACTGCTTTAACAAGGGAGTTTGTTCTATGATTCCAAGGAATGATAAACCAGTCACCCTCCATTAGTGGCATCTAGCACCACTGCATGTGAATGTTAATAGGCAATAAAAATAATCATAGCAGGACTTCACCTTCTTCTTCATTCTGACAATTATTTATTAGGCAATGATAGAAAGTCTATGAAATTCCTCCCTATTTGGGGATATACTGGAAAGGGAGAGAAGAAACCCAATATCAATTATTTTTTTAAGGTTTGCAGCCTTATAAATTTTGAATAAGATGGCTCTGGTCCTTGAAACCATATTAACTGACGGTCTACAGAGGACACTGTCCTCTGTACAGTGTAAAGCACCACCAAAATGGCCAGAAATTATACACGTTCCCATTTCTTTGCTCTCCATATACAGTCTAGTAGGCCATTGTGCTCAAATACCTTCAATCAGATTATCCATCACGTTGTGCACAACAGTTGTAGAATAGAATATCTGCTTTTCAGTTAATCTAATGTGCCAGCAGAAAAAGATTTGGACTAGAGAAATTGACTTCACTTTAACAGTTGTCCTGAATCTTCAGTTTCAGGCTGATGATTATGGCAACAGAAAAACAGTTAAATCTTAAGTCATTTTGGTAACATATGTAAATAGCATTTCTAATCTTTAATATAACTCACCCTCATTTTAAATGGAAGGAAAGACCGAGTTATTTTTTGCGGCGTCTTCATTCATGCATGCATAGCTGCCCGAGGTTATACGTGCAGCTGAAATACTCGACTGTTGAGTCTTTGTTCCACCTCTTCTCATGTTAGTTTTATGTTAAAGAGATGTTGGAAAATGTGGACAGTTTCCACCCAGCACTTCAGAGCTACATGATGTAAAGAGCTGAGTCTTCCCCGATATCATCGTGAAACAGAAGATGCTGGTTTAAGATTGCCGTCGCACACAAAATTTGTGGACTGAAAAGAAAAGTGTTTTCCAACACTAGAACTGGGTGAACATGTAAATGATCTAGATAAATCGACTTTCAAGATAAGAAGTCCTCCGCTGTTCCTTGCATGCTATTTTAAAATTGTATAATTTTAACCGTTCCCCAGAGGCTTGCAAAGCAAAATCATACTGCTGGTTGCCCGAGGCAGAAAGGAAACGTACAACATGTCTTTTTTTTCAGACATGGAAGGGGATTCAAATTTCAGTCACATGCAAATGCCGCAAGCTAAGTTATCCAGGATTTTTCAAGACAGAGCCCGACTCATGAAAGACCAAGCAAAATGTCCGGCAAACAAGTTTCCCAGTCCAACCTGTAAAAATCTGGCTTTCATCTAAATGCTGTTCAGCTAGTCATTTTGTTATACCAACTTCAAACTTCAAGATAACAAGACTGGGTTTTGGTATGTCATTGGATGCTTAGATAGTGATTTTACAAGCTATTTTTCCTTTTAAAGTTCCGATTGCTGATCTAAATTGACAAAGGAAGTGAAGCAAGGCACTTAAAGTTATATTCCCCATTCTAAACTCCATTATCATCTGTGAATTTTATTGTTTCGTGACTCTTCTTTAACTAGGATTGACAGCAAATAGATCATACATTTGGGTTGAATACTTTCACGGGTATTCTGTGATTGATTTCTCTTAAATGTGTGCAGTGGTTCTACATGTTTTGGTAGTTTTTATTTACGTTGTGCGTTTGTTTTGAGATGGTTTGCAGCATTGCGTTATAGATTCAGAATATTTTACTTTGACTTCACTGCATTTCACTAGGTTTTGCTCAACATGATATACCTGTACCACATTTCATGTTGACATGGGTACACCCATAACTTCATCCACGATGCTCACTAACTACAATATCCTTAGACAGTCATGTGGGCCACAGCCTTACCCGAAAGGCACAGAGTCCATGAACGGCACACACACACACCAGTGGTCATTTAGAGAAGTCAATTAAAGAGGAGAACACGCAAATTCCGCACAGGCAGAGCCAGATTTGAACCCAGGACCCCAGAGCTGAGAAGCAACAGTGAGACCAGCTGCACGTTTGAAGATTACTTGTTAAAAGCACAGATTGTATAAAAAATCATGAATTTAAAAAGAAATTATCTAGCTGGAAGTATTGACTGCCTAGGCACGGGACCATACGGAAGAATAATGAGATAGATAATGTCTGTTTAATCATGGCACCTGGAACGATGAACGGCTGTGTGCCGTTAATACAGCTTTACCTAGCTTCATGTCTAATTGCAGTATTTGAGTTTATTGGTCGGATGCGAAGACATATTAAAAAACAAGATATAAACGGGTGCAGAGCCTAGACGCCAGTTGCACTAAACCAACGAGCCCCCTGTCATTCACGCCTGTTCTCTGTAAAAGCGATCTCAAATTGGAAACACTTGCTGTGTAACTGATTAATGTCTGGTCTTGACCGTTTTTATTGATGAGGCTAGCAAAACAAATAGTGGAATTACCTCCACGATATATTTTATTTATACAAAAGACATTTAGTAGCCGTAATAAAATTGCCTCAAACAACTTTCAGAATAGTATCTCGGTTATGAACTTCGTTTCCAGCCTGCTTCAACGCTTTTGGCAGAAGTGTTTCTAAACACGTGATGTCCTTCCGCGAAGCTCCGGTTTAAAAGTATTAACACCCCGCCCCTATCAAGTATTAAATACACCTCCGGGAGCTCGGAAGTCGCAAAAGTCCCTTGTTGACTGACAACTTCCTCAAAGCTGGAACGACGAAGAAAATAACTTTCACTTCATTGTAATCAAATATGGCACCATTAAAAAAAAACGCATCAGACTATCTGCGCCGCTTTTGAACGCGCTACTTGTAACATGCTATGTTAAAAGAGGTGCTATTCTGCTTTGCATCAGAGGCTGAAGGGGGTAAAACAGCCGTCACTTCCCTTTGCAACACGGGTGTAGTGCTCGGTGAAAACGCCAAGTCCGAAGTCAAGTTCAGCTAGCAATGTCAAAGCCAACGATTTAAAAGGTCTCTTGCTGTTCGACAATCTATGGCCCGGTTTTACCATTCCGCTTCAAGCCGTCATCTTGAACTGCGACAAGTTTCTTCAAGAGTAACAGCCCAAATCAAGATTAATGGCAAATTGATAACGCGTTAGGATTGAATACTGTATGTTCTCCGGTGTTTTGCGACTGTTCTCTCTTACGTGTGCGCAGTGGTTCTGCAGTTGTTCGTGGTTCATCCATGGTTCCAACTTGGAGGCATGGTCGATTTGGAAAAGGAAACTTGTGGTTGGTTTGGGTTTGACTTTCTCAGTACAAGCTAGTGGGGAGCTATGTACTCCAAAATAGGCAGGCACGACCTACAATTTAGACTCGACGACGTTGTTGCACCAAAAAAAAAATACACCCATTCTCTGATACACCACCACAGCAGCAATAATTTGTTTTTCAAGGTGATGTTTCACTCAAGTCCGTCAAGAGCGGTTTTAGAAGAAGGCGTCAGAAAAGAGAAGCAAGGGTCAGAAGTTTAGACCCCAGGCTATCAACACAAACCCTGGGTTATCCGCAAAGCCTTTTAGCAACGCCTACCGTCGTCTTTTATTTTATGGTGCCATTCTATTAAAAAAAAAAGTGTATAACACAACTTACTGCTCCAAATATACAGGACAGTAGAAAAGTGCAGGAACAATGCGGTATAGAAAAAAAGACAAAGACTGTCACTTACTTTTTTTAAACAGCACTGAAACTTCAGAAGATTTCGAAATTCCGAGACGGTTTTGTTATACGGCGTTTTATTCGTGAAAGATCACCGTTCCCATGTCGCTGATGTGTAAAACGCAGCTCAGCGGGGATGTCAGACACACGAGGAAGTGACCGGCACTGCTAACGCAGATCAGAATGGGCTGGGCAGTATCACGGGGAAGTCCCGCCCTACACACGCTATTTCTCTATTTCTGCTGATGGAGATAGTCGTGAGAGCCGTGCAGGAAGATCACTTGATGCCTTGCTAGAACTAGCTCTTGAACGCCGAATGCAAACGCGCGTTGCTTGATTTTATTTGCCAGAGGGCAGGTTTGGGCTTTAGTTGAGTTTTGTGGAGATTAAGCCAAGTTTAGAATTGACAAGTATGTGAAGTTTTAAATATCTTCAATGGGGGTGTGTCTTTGCGCCTCTAGGTGTCCAGTGTTTTTGGTACGAAATTAGAAGTACCGGTGTAAACAATCCCGTAAACTGGCTTCACTTGCTAGGAAAAATACCCGGTCTTGATTAGAGCCCCAGTTTCGGACTGTTGAGACTCCCCCTTGCATTACGTATCGTGGAAGTTATTAATGAAGAACTTAACTGAAGTTATTTTCTTGACTTCCTGTGGGTTCTATTTATGTGTACAGTACTTCAACGCCTAGCCCACCAGTTATGAAATACACCTTACCACCCAAGAAAGCGGAAGGATCAATTAATGATCGTAGATTGTTTTAAGTCGGAATATCGTGCCAGTCTCTACTATAATAAATCTGTGGATTAAATAAAAACAGCATCATATCCAATGCAAAAAACGAAACATACCAGTGTTTCAGTAAAGCCCTGCGTACTGCAGATGAGTTGCTTTAAAGGGAATACCGATTAAAATATGGAATCACTGTAACGCGGATTAGACAGCAAAGGTGTTGTGTGAGTGTCTGGTATCAAGGCAGCACAAACCAGTCTCTTCTTCCACTTTTATCTCCTGGCGGCAAGCCTACGATATGCAAACAGGAGATGAGGAAGTTATCGTCAATAATATCAGCATGCGGAGTGAAAGAATTCAAGATACCACAAGACATTGGTTGTCAACGAGCAGAGCTCTTGTGGCGAACTTAATACAGAGCGTCTATCACAAGTCGTAAATAAAGTGAATGCACATCGGAAAAGCTGCTAACATGCGTGTGTGTGCAGAGCGCCTGCAGTGCAGATGTATATTGGGGGCATTGCTTGGCTTGACGACTGATGTTTAGCTTAAGTGTTTCCTGTTTGTCATAAGAGGTTATACCTTAATTTTTAACTTTCTGAAAGACCCAGTCGTTCCTGATTTTCTTTAGATAACGTACGTTGTCAACACTCTCTTGGCCACGGGGTTGAAGTTCTCCCATGTCATTTGCCGTTATTTCTCAGCCAGGAGGTACAGTACTCCAATGCCGACCAGCGTTAAAATCCACCTCCTTTCACAGTTCTGCTAGTCTTGGTAGATTTCTTGCTGCCCTTTGCAACAGCTGGTTCACGGAAACTTCTGTCTTGCAAAATGTGTGTTTCTTTTAGTCAAAAGAGGAAGAGTGCATTTTTTTTTTAGTCTTCCCACTTCGGTGCTGGTTTTTTTTCGATAGCAAGCTGGAGACACTTTTTCACTGATCTGCCGTGCCAGTGTCTATTTGTAATTGAGCTGGCCCAGCGAGTGAAAATGATAACGTGTATTTGGAGGCCCATGTGTAATGCGTCGTTCTTTTATGCTCAGCGATGCTTTTAAAAGGGAAAGACCAACACATCCCAGCAATGTCAGCTATACGCTTATCTCCGTGGCCTGAGGCAGTGGTTCTCAATCCCGATCCTGATTGCAGCCGAGCCCCGAGTTACACAATCAAATCCTCCATCATAACCATGTGATTATTTTGACAATAACCTTATTATCAAACCTTAACCTTATAAGCTGAATTTGAGCCGTTTCTTCTTCTAAACATGTTGGACCTTTAACCATTGTATTTCGTAAGTGAAATAAAATCCCAAAGTCGTTACTAGAAACGAAATATTCAATATTCAATTGAAACAACTATTCAGGTCCAGTAAGGCTTCAATTCTCCCCTGCTGGAAAGCAGCAGGTGTGTGTGGGGCTCCAGGGCCAGGACTGGGAAGCACCACTTCAAGGTTTCATGATGTGTGTGTACCAGGTGCTGTGGGTTATCATTTCTTCATTTCTCATTTTATTGTTTTAAAATTGGAATAAAAACAGCTCCAATCTTTAGTCCAATGACAGAATGGGAAAATCCGAAGCGGACTCAGTTCACACCCAGCTCTGCCTCCCCATCCAATCACCTCGTACAGACAGGACGTTTGGTGGCAGCTGGCTGCAAGAGTGCAGGTTCCTAGATTTTGCCCAATGGAAACAAGCAAGTATTACAGATCTTCACTGACACTGACAAAGTCCTCCCCCCCAAATTTCAGAACGAACAGGGAAACAAGAACCAGAGGGCAAAAATAGAAACCACATGGAAGTTTATTACAAACCAAGAACAAGAGGCACATCTTTCCCCAGAAGGTAACTCGGAGCACATAGCAGCGTCCCACCAAAACATCTGAAGCCACAACCTTCCTGTCACGAGTCCAGGGGCCCTAACCACTACTCACCCTGCTGTGCGGTTTGAAAAGTCACAATGTTTGCATCGTCAGTGCAATGACCTTTGCGTCAGTTGTCATTACGTGGACATCTTATGTGTGCAGAGGAAATCCTAACCATAATTGACACTGAAACCAGGGAACCCAGTGAAAACCCTGACAAACCCCACACAGACAGCACCTCAGGATCTGAACACAGGACCCCAGAGCTGCAAGGCAGCGATGCTGATCACTGTGCCATTGTGCAACCCAGCGCTCATCAAACAAGCAAATATCTACTCACAGATACAGGGTGTCAATATGTACAGTACATCCGGCACTATACAGTATACCCTCTTAAAATGACGAAATCACCACATACAGGAAGGCTTAGAGATAAATGCAATCCTGAGGTTTACTATCATTTTTGCCTGCGCAATGTCCCTGAGCAGACAGAGTCCAGCCATCTGTGAGGAAGTTATCTTGTTCATGTGTCCTTACAATTAAGGAGGGTATTAATATTGTCCGCTAAATCGTGTTGGGTTACCTATTTGAAGAGGTGCTTATTCTGATTTTGGTAAAGGCTGCACTTGCACATCTTTACATTAATTAGCAACAAGCCTGTACTCCAAGCTGATACATGAGAAGATAACACTCCTCTGTTGGACAGCTTTGCTAGTAAAAAGAGGACATATCCGGGGTTTGTACTCATAGAACTTCATCATCAATGACTGGTACATATTCTAAAAGGGGACAAGACACTGAACTGTTCGAGGATGCAAAGATCTGTGCATCCTAACATCCTAATCACTTTACTCAATACAGGGTCGTCTATCCCAACAGGCAACAGGCACAAGGAAGGGTACACCCTAGATGGGACGTCAGTCCTTTGCCATGCAGAAACACAGACAAAAAACACACACACTCACACTAGGGTCACTTTCCCCGGAGGCCAATTAACCTACCAGTATGTTTTTGGCATGTGGGGGGAAAACCCACACAAACACAGGGAGAACTAACAAACCCCACACAGTGAGGCAGCACTGTGCAAAGACAGTAGTGAATATATGGATTGCCGTACAGGAGACAGACCAATACTGAGTCAATGTACAGGGTATTTTCAAACTTTTGAACAGTACCCAGACTCTTATTAAATGGCACTAGGAAAAGGGAAACTAATATTTTCTGATTAAAAGGATCGTTGTGCACATCTTTCACAAGCAGACTTTCACAATACATAAAAGGGATATTACAACGTATGCCACTGACACTGGTAGCACCAAGGGTTTGGGGAAACCAGAGTAATGAGCTTTAGACTCCTGCAAAGAAAGTATGTGATTGAAGTACAATTTATATAGTGTTTCAAGAAGTCGGAGGAAAATATGAGGAGGCTAATGTATAGATGGAAATTCAAATGCTGTATAACTTGGTGTATTCATGTAAGACAAGTGAGTGTGGGATGAGGAGGAACATGTAAACGTTGAGTTGGAGAGTGGGAGTGTTTCTGACTGAATATAGTCTTTTAAGTTTTAAGAATATCAGTTTTTGCTCTGTGAAAGCGATATTGACATTGGTACAGTAGATCTTGCTAAGTGGAACAGTAGATCTTGGTAAGTGGGTAACAATGTTTTAACAGATGTTTGCAGATTAACATTGAAGCAAAATAATTAGTGCATGCTTATCAATGTACTCCTTTCACCAAAAGAAAGACAAAGGGCCAAATTAGGGTAGAAAAAAAACATATATTAATATACTGCAGTGTGCACACATTAAGAAAAAACACAGACATTATTTCTGGACACACAAGAATGCTTGTGCCCATGTAGCAAAGCAAATCAACTTTTAGTGCCAGAAGAAGAGACATTGCCTGTATCATGGAGTCTGATCCCTTTCTGTCAGTGATTTTAGGAAGTCTGGTTGTAGCTGTCTGGACCACTCGGTTTTAAAATGAATTTGTACTCGTCGTACTTTTAGGCCATACTGTACTACCTGATAACACTTGAAAAGGCAGATATCCTAACACTACAATGTTATTCAAGCCCTCAAAGGTCTTTTGTGGTTATTCTGTAAGTTTTGAGGAACACAAAAAGGTTAATTTCCTGCTGAAAAATAGGAAGAAGAAATGCCAATTTCGACTGTAGAGCTTTCATCAGGTGAGAAGGTGAGAAGGTGACATGTGCTTCTTCTATGTTCAATGTGGAATTAACCTTAACGTGTTCCTTAATGTCCCTGCAGTGAATGCACAGTGACGCAGTTCCCTACTCGAACATGTAAGTTTAATACCTAGATGTCAACACCACATCCATAAGCATGTTAGGGTGCATGATTCAGAGTGCCTGTACTGTACAGTGTAAAGTATTTGGAGTTAAGCAAATATAGACTAATTGCGAGGTACCAAGGCTCCATGAATGCATCAACTGGACATGCTTATCATTGGACTTGCAGACGGCATGACATTACAAACATATTCAACACACCTACATTTGAACAAAGCATAAATTAAGTTTTTAAAAATACCCAGCCTGCCTTCTGATGACAAAAAAATGTAGAATTTACAGTGTGATGGCCACAGGTCTGGTTCTGGGGTGATTCCCCATCTCCCTGCACCAATCGGATTTCAGCAAAAATGAAAGAAACTGGAAAATACCAAATGTTTTCACTTCTGACTTCAGTTTCAAGCTGGGCTCAGTCTGGCGTCTTTAGCTATTCCCTAGTCTGTGCGAAGCAAGGATGTAACCTTTTTCAGCAGAGCCAGAGGAAAGTAATGATAGCTCAATGCCTTTGTGTTACAAATCCAAAAAGATGTGAACCAATTATTGTACAGTATACATCCAAACTTCACCCTGGCACTACATCCAAGGATGCTCTGCTGAAAGCAACGATCTTTACAGCTCCCGTTGTCTCTTGCTGCTTCAGAGCACATTATTCTGCCAAGATGATTGTCATGCAGATGCAAATAGTAGCACATTTCTTGAATGGAGAAAGTCCTAAAGTGCTTCTTGCAAAGTTTTCAAATGTACAGTAGTATCGTACAACTTAAGTATCTAGAATATAACAGCAAAATAGTACTATATCCAGCATTCAATTGTTAATTCCATCTCAAACTCTGAACTGCATGCACCTTCACTGTTCGAACCTTAGCAACTCCTGATACAGAGTTCAAAGAAGACGGAGAAGGAAATGTCCCAGATGAGATCTCTGGCATCATGACTTATTAAAGAAAATAAATCCCAGGGTAATCTTCAAAATATTGTGTTGTTTCAAAACTGAAGCACAGAAGATGTTTACCTTTTGGGACTGTGGCTGCAAAACAAAAGAATTGAAGGTTGTCTTAGAGCAATGCAGGTAGCTATGTAATTGCAAACACAATACACACCCCCACACGCCGTTGCATATACAAGACGTGCTGAGATTCTCTCGTGAGCCAAATATGACAGGCAGCTGTCTAAGTTTCATGCTTAAATTTCATTTTTTCTATGTAAATATACATATATGATTATCATATTAATTATTATGATATGTATTATGATAGCATATACTCATATTATCTTATAACAATGTGTTTATTACTAATTAGTCATTGATATATTTAATAGATCTTATATTCATATAAGATCATATTTTATATGAATTAAGTTTCTTCTTCTTTCAACGTCACTCCCGTTGAAGGCAATTGGAAGTAAATTTAAAACTATTCAATCTGTGCTCAGATTTTTCATCAGAAACCACCCAGAAGGCTTGGTTTGCATCATGAAAATGTGTGTTTTGTGCCTGCGTCCATGATTTGTGATACAATCAGTGTGTTCCTTAAGAAGACATTTCTAAATAGTTGAATGTCACACTGGAAAGGTGTCACATCCAGCTGCTGTTTGGCAGAATGCTCTTGCAGCTGAGTCTCTTGCAGCCTGCAGATGAGTGCTGATGGGTAATGTATCAGGAACTACAGAGCTGGATGTGCTGGAAGTAAGTTTTCCATAATGCTTCCTATCTCATAAATCATTTTGTTGTCTTCATTGGTGTTACCTACTGTAAAAAGAAAGGGAACTAGACCTGAAACAAAGCCAAAGGCCCAGACTCCGATCCACTAGAGGGCAGACTTATATTTGCAAAAGGACTGTGTGCAGGCATAGAGTTTGCAGTCCAGCTCATGTTCACTCAGGGGCTGAAAGCTTATCGGAAATCCTGGTACTGCGGTGATACTGTGGAATAGCTGAACTACCCTATGTCTATCAATTAAATTACATTTCATGGCACAAAATACAACAGAGTTACAAAGTTACAAAGAAACATGCAAACAACAGAACATAACAGTGTGCTCCCCCTGGGTCTAAAATTATACCAGGTAATGCATGTTCAATTCTTCAGAATCATAAATTCTTTGGTTGGTTTGGAATTCAAGGGAAACACTATTTGCAAAACAAAACATAATCAGTTATGTTACATTAGATACATAGCACCTGTATTTGTACAGAAAACAGTGCTTGGCTGTATTTGCTGCCATAATAGTAGACTTGCCCTTATTAAAGCTTAAATGCACATTATTTGATAACTGTAGGTGCAGCACATTGGAACAGGTAAAACTAGAATTACCAGCTCAGAGCACAGAGGGCCTTAACAATGGGTACAGGCAATAAAAGGGTTTATATTTCAGTGCTATTCTTAGCCTGCCTGACGTTGCAATACCGGAGAGACAATGAGAATGATTTGTCAAATACTGAATGTTACATGCACACCTAGACAACTCGACTGGAGAATATGATTTTCTATTTCCGGCATACTGAACCCGTATTTATATAAAAATTTCAAATACGAAAAGTTCGGGAATTTTAATTTACCTAAAGACGTTTTTCCTCATCTTGCAAGACTTTTCTCAGTCCTTCAACATTGTGGTCAGTAAAAAGGTTTACAGACATCCTTAGTCTGTTCCCGATACATATACTGCATGGTTGTGATTAGAAATAAAAAATTAGGCATGTTAAGATCTCTGTGGTTTGAAATAATATTCAGGACTAAACGGATAAACAGAGCAAATATAACAAGAATGCTTGCTTATTGCTTATTTTTGATGACAAGAGGGTCAAACCTTCTCCAAATAAGCTCTTTATAGGCTACAAAACGCACTATGGAATTTTTAAGTTGTGGTAAGCTTAAATCATTGATTACTGTCCTGTGCTGTCCTATGCTGTCCTATGCTAAATAGAAAGTCATTGGGTGGCTTTCTTTTATTTATGTACTTCTTTTCTTCTGAACATTGGAATCAGCTGTTTCCATACCCTAAAAAGGGCCCACAAGCAAAACAATCCATAAAAATGATATTGCATGGTCTTGTCATTTTTGCCCAGAGCTCCAGTGTCTTCCCAGCTCCCAGAGACATGCCAGCTGGATTAACTGGGGTCTCTGAACTGTATCTGTCTGTGAGTCCACTCGTGGGCTGCAGTCCAACCTTGTGTCCTGTGCTTTCCTGCTGGGCCCCAGGGCACTATGACCCTGGAGAAATGGATAGACTGCTGCCACTGAAAATGAGGTGCAGGACCTTGCTCAATTACTAAAGCAGTTGAACATCCACTTCTTCTTTCGTTTTTTCTTAAGAGAAAGAAATCTCATTCATATTGTTATTGAAGCTGAACGAGAAAAGCCAAACCACAGCGTTCATGTGTGGTGCAGCATTTACTGTCGGTGTCTGGGATGTAGTCAATGCGCCCTCTACTGGCTGTGGAACAGAAATGAGCTCTCTTATCTGAGTGCGCAGCCGTGCTCTCTCTCACTCACCTCTCCGGTGTTTAGCCTTGTTCATTGTCACTGGGAGATCTGCTCTGCATCAGGGAGGCACTCATTTTCACCTTTCTTGGAAACCGGCTGTGCAAAACTGTAGATTTAAAATCACAACATGCAGTCAAAATAATGTTCAATGTGTAGAGCAGTCTTTGCTCCAGCTAATCCTTATAATAGTGATCCTCAGCACCTGGGTAAATTAATCAATTAAGGATTAGTTCAGCAATTAGTTTATTGAACTGTTTAAAATCCTGTAACAGAAGAGTTGCCTTTCCCTGAGGATACAAGAGTGTTATTATGAATTAATGCCTTGCAATCCTTTGCTTGTATAACAAATAAACCGCAACACACATTCGTTAGTTGGCTTGTCCATAAATTTAAGGTCTTGCCAAAAATACTTTATAAAAACTGCAATTGGATATGTTATAACAACTCACTCATCCTATGTGACACTGGTGACAGTGTTCATGCACAGTTAATTTTGTCCATAAATTCTGCAAATTCTGTTTGTGTGTGTATGTTGAGTTTTCATAGAAACAGACTGTTATAATCTCGGCACCTCATGGGACCCCTGTAACTGAATTCTCCCATGGAAGGACACCAGTCTTTTGGTATAGTGGAATTCACTGCTGTTGGAGGTGGATCTGTGAGATGGGGGAGGAGCTCTGTGTTGGAGGAGTAGCTGTGTGGTGGGGGAGGAGCTGTGTGATGGGGGAGGAGCTGTGTGGTGGGGGAGGAGCTGTGGGCTGGAGGAGGAGCTATGTATCCAGAGGGAGGAGCTGAGCAGTGGGAGAGAAGCTGAGTATTGGGGGAGGAGCTGTGTGGTGGGGGAGG